GATCTCAAATGCTCTGGAGAATAACAGTTTCCAGTTTCGTTTCTGCATTTGAGATTAGGAAGGGAACAAAGGGAGATTACAGGAAGGTGGGGCAAAGCGAGACAGGGATTGGATTACAGGCTAGCCGATGAGATGAAGCGCTCTCTTACACACTTCAGAAAGAGGGGCCTGAAAGGGGGCATTTCAAAGGTGTGTTAGCCTAGAAATACGCGAACTCGGAGAGGGCTGGCTTAAAAACCCACTAAAGAAGTTACAAGCCTGGGGCGTGAATACCCACCATGACCCTCCCAGTTAGAAATTTAGGATTGATTACAACACCCCTTTCTCATCCACCAGGAAGCTGAAACCACCACTCAGGGATAAGCAGGGACTGCGCTTGTCCTTTGGTGGCAGAGTGAGGAGGGGAACCTGTGTTTAGACCATTCAAGGCCCTCCTGATTTTACCAGAGGCCAAGGCAGCACATAATAATGGACCTTAATTCTTAGCCTCACACGACCCGTGTCTTCTCCTTCCTTCCTCTCAGAGGTAATCAATCCACGTTCCTGGGAGCGCTTATAAATCATCCCGACAGTCAGGGACCAGCGGCCACCTCACCTATCTCTGTGACTGATTGGCTGGTCCCACCCCAGATCTCCCTGGCTGGCCTGCCACCCAGCACCCTGCACGCACACCCGTGTGTGGGGGCACAGGCACTCCCCCACGCTTTGAGTGTCTGCCAGTCTCTGCAAGGCGGCCTCATTTCATTCAGTGCGAACCTCTCCCTTAGTCGTTGTTAATGTCCTTCTTTTTTATGTCTGATTTATGCAAGGCTTGGGCCACGTCATGGAGGACCCAGGCAGAAGGCCCTTTCTGTTCTGAGATACCCTTCCCCCTCACTCATCCTGTGTCAGGGTCTTTTCTTGGGCATCCACTAGATCTAAGCTCTAGAAACAATTTTTCCTTGCTTGCTAAACTCTTTTTTCCTTTTGGGCAAGACAGTCAGTGTAATTTATCATGCATACTTCCTTCTCTACAGTTTATGGTAAAAATTTCATGCTCTAGTCTTCAGGACTTTTGGTTCATGATATGCAAAACCAAGTTTTGTTGAAAACAAAGTAAAAATCTTTCTCTTTCAAACCCCAGGTTCTTATTACTTACCTTAAAATATGCTTTTATGTATCAAGAATTGCTGTCTCAATTATTGGTCTTAAAAAATTGTTGCCCTAGAACAATTGATATCTTTATTCTAGGGCACCAATTGAATTGTCCAATACTGTAGTCACATGTGGCTATTTAATGTAAAACTTGTAAGTTAATATTGATTTAGATGAAATAACATTTAAAATTCAGTTCCTCAATTGCAGTAGCTACATTTCAAGTGCTCAGCAGCCACATGTGGCCAGTCGCTACCTTGAACAGTAAAATGCAGAATGCTTCCACATTGCAGAACGTCCTATTGGCCATTGGTCATCTAGAGCAGAGGTCCCCAACCCCAAAGCCGTGGACTGGTACCGGTCCATGGCCTGTTAGGAACTGGGCTATGAGGGAAGCCCCGCACCTGAGCGCCGCCTCCTGTCCTCCCCCTCTCCCCCACTCATCCGTGGAAAAACTAGTCCCTGGTGCCAAAAATGTTGGGGACCACTGGTCTAGAGCACATGTGCCTTTCACTTGAGGGCTGTGAATCGTGAGAGTGAAGGGTGAGCATAAAGAAAGGGTGAGGGATGAGGATGCTGAGAAAGAAACCTGTTAATATCTCAAAATGTCTTGCTACAGTAACTTTGAAGAAAGTTTTGAGCCTGAGTAGCTTAAGTAACTACTTTTAATGAGATTCCCTTCATTTCTCGGTAGAAGAACATTTTTGACGGCTGGAAATGCTGCTGCCTACCAGTCTGTCACAGGCGGCTTGTACCATGGGCTGCCACCGCTGAGCAACTCTCTGGTGAAGAGCGTTTTTGCTTCATAGCTCAGCCTGCCCCTGACGCTGGATCCACAGAGCCTCCAGGTGTGTTGAGAGGTATTATATACCTCTAAAAGGTGTGTTGTGCATAGGGGATTTTGCCCCTTTGTTTTCATTGGTTTAAATGTCGCATGGACTCTCCAAGCTCTAACGCACTGCAGTCTTGCTTGGCTCCCCCTCACTCACCTGGCGGAGCAGTCAGGCCCCCCGGGCCTGCGATTATTCCCAGGTAGGGTTCTGCCTCCGAACTGCTCAACAGGCTAATTGGGGCAAAGCTTATCTGCTCACAGCTGGTAGCAAAACCAACATTTGCTCCTTTTCATTTAATAAACAACAAGGATGGCATTGATAATGCATAAATTAGGTCAGCAGCTGAGTTTTTAACCCTGTTTACAACATGTGTTGTCAAATGTAATCCTGGCAACTATTATAGCTCCTAGGCACCAACAATATTACCCACCTGCTCCAACTAAAGAATTCAAGGTTCAGGAAGCCCAGGGGTCTGACTGCTGGGTAGTCATTGGCAGCGCTAGCTCACAAACTGTATCAGTTATCTATGATTGCATAACAAATTACCTCAAAATGTAGCATATTAAAACAATAAATGTTCATTATCTCATATAGTTACTGAGGCTCAGGAATTTGGGAGCAGCTTAGTTGAGTAGTTCTGGCTCAAAATTTCTCACGAGGCTGCATAAGGTGCTGGCCCACGCCTCAAGGCTCTGCTGGAGGGGAATGTGCTTCTAAGCTCCCTCACACGTCTGTTGGGAGGCATCAAAAGAGCCACCCCCAGGCTTATTCACATGGGTTTCTCCATGGGCTTCCTCACAACGTGGCAGATGACTTCCCGCAGAGTGAACAGCTCAGGAAAGAGCAAGAGAGAGAACTCAAAAGGGAGGTTACAGTCTTTTCATTGCCTGATTTCAGATGTGACATTCCATCACTTTTGCCATATTCTGTTCATTAGAAGGAAGTCACTCATTTCATAACACACTTAAAGGGAAAAGAACCAAGTTCCACCTCTAAATGGGAAGAGTAACAAAGAATTTGTGGACATTATCTTTACAACCACCTCGCAGACCTATACCTTTTGACTCCAAAACCTTCATCCTAGTGTTTTTATGTAGTAATGCCACCATCGAGCCCATGGAAGTCCCACACTTCTACCTTCCCTAGCTACAGGACAATGGCTGTTGGCCCAAGCCTTGACCCTCTCTTAGATCCAGAAGACAAGGTTGGACCATGAACACTGGGTCTGGTCCTTCTGCCTTTGGGTGTTGCCTGGGACTAGGTGGATGCAGCTGTCCTGCCCCCTGCCACCCGAATCAACTCCAAATGTAAGAATTGTCTGAAGCCAGTAACAGGTCTGGAAGTATCATGTGGGGTCAGATGGACAGGCCCACTATATCCAGGTTCAGGAAGCCCAGGGGTCTGACTGCTGGGTACCACAAGCAGTAGGGGATGCCTTGGCTGTTGGACAATGATGTGGAGAAGAGAGAGGCCCCCATGTAACATGGAAACGATTTTGAACTGTTACCTAGAAAGAATCACAACAGTGATTACGGACAAATTTTTAAGATTACTAGTATTGAGAACATTTGAATAAGTTTTCTTTGTTGATTGTAAATATGTCATATTGGTATTATACTGTTCTGGAACTTCCAAACACTGTGCCGACTAGTTATACAGAAGACCGTTCTGTGTTTAGCCACTTTCTGAAAAATCAATTTAATGAAATAAGATTGTTACACTCTCCTCTACATCATTAGGAACTAGACATCAAGAACTACTTCTATATAATAAGTAAATTATCCCACAGAGTTTTGGGGTGCAGATACAGTTATCCTGTTCTCATAAGGATGTCTATTATGAAGACAGTACAGCATTACCATGTCTATTATTTGGTTCTTTTAGGCACTTGTGCTGTTCCGTTGGAGAGCATTTCTGCAAGATGGAGGACCATTTCCAATCAGAGTAGCAGCCCAGATACCCTGGAATAAAATACACAGGCAGGACTGGTCTCCCCACTTGTCCCAGAAGTAACTGAACGCAGACCATAAAGCAAGTGTCATTGAGTCTATTAGTCAGATCTTCCACACCCGAGCCAGTGGGGAATAATTTACGAGATACGGTTGTTTTATTATAAGGCGTAAACCCAACCCTGGCAAGGTGAGTCATGCTTTCTTCCATCAGAAGAGAATCATGGTCTCAGCTGGTATCAGCCTTGGTTGTAAACTCAGCTGAAATTCCCCTGGCCAGTAATGACCTGAAAGAAAGGCCATCCATTCTTGGCCACTTTTGGGGCCTGTGGGAAAGAACCCAGGCTGGCAGCTTAGAGATGTGTGACTCCTGACCCATCTACGAATAGTGATAGAAAGAGAACTCTTTAAGCAGAATTCATAAGAAGGCTTTTTTTCAATCATGTGTTTTCCCCCTGGTTATTTAAGCAAATATTGTTTTCATTTTAAAAAAATTTGAAATACAGAAAAAATTAAGAACATTAAAATCAATCATAAATTTGCTTCAAAATAATATGGAGGTAGGGAGTGATAGGGATCATGCAGGACTGGCCACAGGTTGATGGCGCTTGGGGCTGGGTGGTGGAAACTATTCTGTTTGCTTTTGTATATGCGCAAAGTTCTCCGTAAGTCAAAAACTATTTTTTTAAAGTAAAATGGTAAGAATGGTTTAAAAAAAAATCATAGCCTCCCACTAGGACACACAGTTCACACCTTTTGGCTTATTTTTGCCAGTATTTTCCCTGCGCATGCATGGGTTTATATCTGTATTTTTATAGGAAAATTGGCCTCACACTATACGTTCACAAGGTACAGACACTATCAGGGCTGGGAAACTTGGATTTCCACACACAGGTCCAAGAGTCTGATATGTTCCAAGAAGACTTTGAGCTTAAAATGTTACTCTAATCATTAGGGAATTTTTTTAATACTTGAGAGGGCAGGGCTTGTAAACACAGTTACTCCTAGTTTTCTCCCCTCAAAGCCCTGTGTAAATGATACATAGGAGTCTTCAAAAGACTCTAAAAGTCTTTTTCATTTTTAGCTGTGCCTCTGTAGGCTGAGTGACCGTGACCTCAAGGTGGCCCATGGAGAGCTGGTGGGCATGCAGCTGCTAATGGAAGATGTACTTCTGAGTAACTATCAGATGATCACAGAGGGTCCCCCAGGCTGGCAGGTCACACTAGACAAAGATACGCAGGTACTCTTGGTGAACAGTTTACATACTTGGCTGATGCTACACTGCCCTGAAGGGCCTCCCTAGTTTGGGGATGGACTAGAGAGCCACATCTGTCCCACCGCCTCTCCCAGCAGGTCCTAGGACTGTGCTAATGCTGCACAGGTGGAGCAGTGAAGCAGCATGGGCCTGTGAAAACCACTCCAAAGTATTTTCTTTCACAGTAAGTCCTATGATTAGTGAGATATCCATTTCTTTTAATTTAAAAAATGGAGCGAAGGTTGTGAGAGGTCCATTGAATACTCTATTGCTGGCTGCTTTTCCTTGTGAGCCACACATTTAGGACCAGAGTTGGAAGGACCCGAGTGAACATCTGCGACCTGGGCCCCAGTCTTCCTCCCTCAACCAGCCTGTGGGCTCCTAGGCAAGCTCTTCCTCCTTTGGCCTTGTCCCTCTGAACTCTAAGGTACCAGGGACCACTGGCCCACCTGGTATCATAACTTGAAACAATTCTGCATGTGCCTGGGAACCAGAGACTTGTCGGGACACAGGGAAAGTGAGCTGGTGCCCCTATTTAAAAAGCCTCTTTTCCAGAGCTAAACTTCCTGAGAGATGCATGCACCAGCATCTCCATTTCCTTTCCTTCCATCTACTCCTCAGACACCACAATCTCTCTCCTTCCCCAGCTCATCACTCAGACCACCATTATCAAGAACACAGTGTCCTTGTCACTAAATCCTGTGGGTGCTTTTCAGTCCCTTTCCAACCTGACCTCTTGGCAGCATTTGACACAGTGTGTCCTTCTTGAAGCCTCTCCTTGGCTCCCAAAGCACAGCTCTTTCCTAGTTTCGCTCTGACCTTGCTGGCTGTGCCTTCTCAGACTTCTCTGTAGACTCTCTTCCCTCAGCCAAGCCCCGAAATGTTCTTCGGGTTTTGTCTCACTATTGCCACTACAAGGGCTGCATCTTGACCACCGTGGCTCAGCCCTGGCTGGCGTGGCTCAGTGGATGGAGTGCCTGCCTGACCGCCGTGGCTCCAGCACTGTTGTCTTTGTGGGCCCCTTCCTCCATAAAAACAATGCAAAGTTTCAGTTTACAACAATGTGAATGAAAAGAAAAATACATTAACATCACATATTAAAATATTTTATTCAACCTAAATGTTTTTTCTAATTTTAAAGGAAATTAAAACATTTTGTGGGCCCTAGGCATTATGCCTTCTGTGCCTAGTCAATAAGTTGGTTCCAAATACTGTGAATACTGCTATTGGCTGTGATTGAGATCTGTTCAGAGTGCTTTATTAATTATTGATTTCTTTAATCCTCACAATAATTCCATGAGGTAGGTACTTCCATTATTCTCATTTTATGGATAATACCAGGGCTTGGAAAGGCTAAATGATGCTCCCAAAGTCACCCAGATGCCAACCTGAGAGTCTGGCCCTGGAGCTCCCTCGTACGCTCATCCTCTGTGCTGCTCCACGCCTCCCCCTCGGCACGCCTCCCTGCCTTTATGACTTTGATGACTTTACATGTGATGACTCCAAAATCTACATGTCCAGTCCAAGTCGCAGTCCTATAAGGTTCACATCCTGTCTCCTGTTCCTTCTCCCATCCTTTAAAACACAGGAAGAGAAGACTTCTCTTAATATAAATACAATTGACTTTTGTAAAACACTGGTTTGAAAATGCAATCGCCCGCCTATGTGTGGGCTTTCTCAATAAATATGCAGCGGGCCCTGTATGTCCCTGGGATTCCCACCTGCACAGGGGTCGGCGCCCCTAACTCCCATGTTGTTCAAGTGTCAACTCTATATTCAGGTAGGTTTGCTTTAAAATTATTATTTATTTTAGTTTTATGTCTATGATCTGTTTTATTTAAGAGTATTGAACTCTTAAATAGAGTTCATAGACAACAGGAAACACTGGAATTTTTACTGGGTTTCCTGTTTCTGCTATGCTACCAGTTCTGCGATCTCTTAGGCTTCAGTCTCTAAGATTCCAAAGAGAAAGTAAAGAACGAGCTCGAGGCTTTTAAAGCAGTAGTCCTAGGGCCCTGGGTTTCTCAGAGGCCCTTTGGGGATTTTTGAGCAGAGGGACCAACTATGTGGCCTATAGGCTGCTGCTTCCTGTCACCATGTTTGGCCTTGGTCTGTTGGATATTTGGGGCCACCACCTAGATTTCATGGGACAAAACGTTTCTGAAAGTAAAATAAATCCAAAAACGCATGGATTACCCGATAGTTGAGGAGGTCGGCGACCGGGCTGAGGGCACGCCAGCCGTCTCCAGGAGCTCACTCTTGCTCGCGTCGTGTTTGCCACCTGGCCCTCGGACCAATCCTCCTCTGGCAGCTACACCTTTCTTCAAATACCTTAATAGTACTGCTCTAGGATCCAGTTACGCTGGGCAGCTCTTCCTGTTCCTACCCAGGAAACTTGAGCGTCTAAGGCACTAGTACCTGATTGTTCTCTACGGCCCTTTGTGCCATAACATCTTGATCCAGATTTGCTGTCTTTGTCTGCAAAGGGAAGCTCCTTTTCCTGCGACTGAGCCGCTGTTGTCAGACTGAGGGCCTGGACACAGGTCCCGGTTCTGTCTGTCATCCTCTGGGTGACTGGCCCTTACACCACTGGCCACAGGAGAGCAAGGACCGGAAACCCCTTTTCCCTGCATTCCCTCCAGGGCTCTTAGCAGCCTCTCAACAAACACCTATTTAAGAGAAAAACCAACGAATGAGCACATCATAATTTTAAAGTAAAATTGCATATCGAATATTTAATATTTAATATTAAATATTGCATATGGAATATTAAATTCCAATTCAGAGATATGTTCGCTGCCTAACTTTTAAAAGATGATAGAAGGAACAGGAAGTAAGATAAACTTAAGTTTCCATTTCCTTGCCCATACAATGGCTAGAGTTCCCAGTTGAAGCTTATGTTATTGCTCTACCATATGGGGAGTTACATCTTGAGTGTGTTGAAAAGCACCTTCCCGAATGCAGTGGTTAAACACAAAAACCTTAACTTTTGAAAGGGAAACAAAATGTTAGTATCCAAGTAAAAAAGATGCAAAAATAAGTGGTTCAAGACTCGAGCCGAAAGTTGATGCAGAGGCCTTTCTCTCCTGTCCGCTCAGGAACGGCTACTTCCCTCTCTAAGCCCTGCGTGCGTTGCAGGTCTGTAAACCTCTCCTCCTGGGGAGAAGAGTCATTCTCCAGAGACTTCACTCTGCTAGGCCTGCAGGTGGAAGTTTATCTGTCTGGGCCCTTGATCAGTAAGGAAGAATTTCTGTAATGCTTTTAGCCAAATTTGTCCAGAACGCCAGGATTCAGAAGTCCGCTCCCGAGCAGCCCAGAGGCCCCCAAGCTTCAGGGAGGCCCGTGCGATGCGGGGAAGGCCCTTGCTTTGCTGAGGTCATTTCTGGTGCTGTGGAAGCAGCTGGAAGTGCCGAAGGAGCACTGGGGCCACCTTAAGCTGCAAGGCCAGAACATCAAGTCTGCCTCTCTCCACAAGCAGTCCTCTGAGCTCTACGGGTGAGTGTTGCGGAGGTGGAAATTCATGTGAACCTAGGGGTGGGCAAATTGCAGCCCCTTGCTCTGGGGGTGAGATTGGTTCCCGCTTCCTGGCATGGCCAGCCCCACTGAGCCCAGAGGAAGCTGGGCACGGTGTCTCTACAGATAGTGCTTTACAGGAAAAGCTGGGTTCTGTTGACTGCAGGGACAGCTCTGGCAACACTAGGCAGCACTGCATATCGTTTACCCAGAGTCATGTCCCTGAGAACTTGTGCTGCTGAAGTGTCCCCACAGTGCTGACTCTAAGCTTTTTAGCTCATAAGATCCCAGTGAACACTGGGTGGGGAGATGCTGCTCCTACAGATTCCTGCCCACTCTCTGCCCCATTAGACCCAAGTGCTGAGTCTCTGAGAGCTTCATGCATGGCAGCCAGAGGTATATATGGTACAGAGATATTATTAGGTCTATAGGATAAGGAGGGGCTTTCCCAACTTAAGCCCTGGCTCAGAGGACTTAGCTGGCAAGAAAGACATTGTTTCGTCCATGTGCCCTTCGTCCAACAAGCATTCACGAAGCTCCTCCTCACCACACAGGACCTTGCTGAGCACAAGAAGGGTCACTTTGGTGGGGTAGTCTGAATTGTGTATTGTATGAGTTATTAACAGTCAGCTTCCTTGTTTACTAGGGAATGAGACTTGTCAGTATTTTGAAAAATAGAGACGGAAATTAAATGTACCCAATGGGAAAAGGCCTCAGGATTTAATACTGACTAAGGGAATGGCAGATGTAGTTAATATACATGTTGATGAGAGTGTCTGTAATGGGTTGGAAGGTTTCTATGTGATGGCAGGAAACAGAACATGAATGAAAGTAATTGTCAGAGAATCTAATGAGAAAAAAAGTATGTTTGTTTGTAATTTCTTCTTTTTTAATAGAACTGACATTTTGTGCCCAAGCATGAAAGCTCTAACCAGGAGGATGGGGAAAGAAGATGAATTTGAAGAACTTATAGTAAGTGGTTAGTCTATTCTTCCCCTAAAAGGAGCTTCAGAAATTGAAATAAAAACTCAGCAGGTATGCAGGAGTGTTTTGAACTTGGCTTTAAAATTTTCCTTTATGCCATTAACAGATATACCCAAATAGTGGTTTGTTTTTTGTTTTTTTTTCTATGAAGCAAAGTGTAAATTGAAGGCTTGTAAATCATTGTACCGGCTCAGAGGGTACTAAGTATCTAAAGGCATGTGGGGCTTCGAATAAGCTAATAACTACCACTTAATGTCTAAGAACTATTAATATAAGTCTAGAGTTTCATATTTTAGTTTCCCCAAATTAAGGTATACCATAGCAAAAAAAAAAAAAAAAAAGGTGAGGATAAGAAATATAATCACTAGCATCTTAAACATAAAATCCAGCACATAAGTATCCTACCCCAATACACCCACCCGTGGAAATGGAATATTTAAAATAGCTCCTGTGATTGTTTTTCTGAGAATAAGACAACACTATTTAGGCACTAGCCTGTTTGGTGTGTGTTAGATGATCTATGTGCAGAAGTTGTTTCCACAAGTGTTTGTTCACCTTGGTCTGGGGACCCAGGCTCCAGGTAGCTGTGCTTACTGTGACAGAGGAGCAAAGACTCAAGCTCTGTGGGTGTTGATGCCGAGATGCGTGTCTACTGAACATCAAGGGGAATTCGGCGCCCCACCCACCCCAGCACACACACACACACACACACACACACACACCAGTTCCAAGCAACGTGTCCTCTCCAAGGTAAGGGCTCCCGGTTATTGGAACAGAGTTGTCTCTTGGCCATGTGTATGGAGTTTTAAATCTTCTCATGAAATCTTCCTCGGTGTCCAAATCAAGTTTCAGACCTGAGGGCTTCTCATATAATAACAGATCACAAAATTCATGGCCACATTTAGAGACGCCAGAACACGAGGTCACCTCAGACATTGAGCACTTTGCAATTTAATGGAACTTGGCAAAAAGGGTTGTATTTTATTAGTCAGAATGTAGGCCAGGAAGAAAAGATGTTGGTCTCCAGAGAGGTGCAGTTAACCCCCCCATCCCCCCCCCCCCCCCCCCCCGCAGAAGCACTTGGGAGCCCCAGGCAGGGACCCTTCCTAACTCCCCGCGGGCAGGGCAGCTGGAGGACAGGGCCAGCCCAAGGCCCCTCTGCAGGAGTTTGACTTACAAACCTCACGTGTAAACTTAAAGTGAAGGCTGATTCTCAGACTGCTTACTCTAGCTTCAGAAACTTCTGGAAAATCTTGAAATTCATATCATCCAGGAGATGTTAAGAAAAGTTAACAGAGAGATAACACTGGTTGTGTCAGAAAAGTCCAAGGAGCAGCGTACTCTCCCTACAGGTAAAATATGATTATCTCACAAAATAACATGTACTGCCCTGGCCAGGTGGCTCATTTGGTTGGAGTGTCGTCCCATACACCAAAAGTCTGTGTGTCTGACCCCCAGGCAGGGCATATATACCTAGGTAGACAGTTCGGTCCCTGTTGAGGCATGTACAAGAGGCAACTGATCAATGTTCCTTTCTCACATCAATGTTTCTCTCTCTCTCTCTTTCTCTCTCCCTTCTTATCTCTCTAAAAATCAATAAACATAACCTTGGGTGAGGATTTTTTAAAAAATAACATTTACTGTTTTTTCCTAATTATAAAAACAATCCACATATCCATAGTCAGGGTAAAAAACTCTATAATGTCCAGAAAATGATACAAAAATTACCTTTTACCATCTTGACCCAGAGAAAAGTACTATTAACACTTTGATATATTTCCTTCCACGTAAAGGGCTTTTAAAATAGAAAACTTTTATTGTATGTCAACCATAATTGAAAAATAAATTTTTAAATAAATAAATACATAAATAGAAAACATTCGTTAACTTTAGTCTCAACTCTGCTTATTAACTCTAACTGAAATAAAGTTGAAATGAGGGAACACATAAAGCTTTTCTGACTCCATATATACAGGTATATAATACACATATATGACATACACATAGGGTGGGAAGGCAATCAAAATAATTTCCTTTAATCTGAGATCTAAAGCCAGGGCCACCTGGCTGTTGTGGCTCAGTGGATTGAGTGTCGGCCTGCAAACTGAAAGGTCATGGTTTGATTCCCAGTCAAGGTACATGCCTGGGTTGCGGGCCATGTCCCCAGTTGGGGGCATGTGACAGGCAACTGAACAATGTTTCTTTCTCTCTCTTTCTCCCTCCCTTCCCCTCTCTCTCAAAATAAATAGAATCTTAAAGTCAGGGTCACTTCATGGCCTCATGACCAGTGTGCCCTCACACAGAACTCAGGGGCACTTGGAGTTTAATGCTCTTTGGGTGCCACCTTGAAACTCCTAATTTTAACTTAGAGTTTCTGCTTTGTAAATGACTCTGGTGAGTCGATGAGTCGATGGAGCCTTGGCTCACATTCAGTCCCACCTCTGACTGCCTCCCACCTTGCCAGGTGGGGTTCTCAGCTGCCTGTTCCTCAGCTCTCTGTCACCCAGGGTACCTCTGAACTTCCCCTCAACAACCACACTCAGCAATCGCTGCAGCCCCCCTCCCCAGAGGGGGCCTGAGCCTGGCAAAGGTCGGAGTGGGGTGTGTATACCTGGCAGTGTCTAAGTGATCCCAGGCTGACAGCAGCGCAGTGTGTTTGATGGTGACTCAGCGGGGACAAGCTGTTGCCCATCCCTGGGTACCTTAAATATCCCAGTACAGAGGTTGAAATACCCTTGGGGTGGCCCATCTACAGTGGGTTGGGGCAGTGGGCCTGTGGGAAGGGGATATACCCAGCTCAGCTTCTCTGTCCCTAGCCAGGGCACAAGACTTGTGTCCTGTGCCTGGTGGACCACGTGCACTCATGCAGCCGGTTGCAGGGTGGCGTCCCTGGGAGCCCACCAGGGCCGACCTTGACCTGCAAGCATTCCTATGCCTGAGTGAGCAATGTTGAGAACAAATGACACTCTGGCAGGTCGAGAGAGAGACTGGGATAGTCAGGAAAACTCTACTTTTTAGTACCTATAGTGGTACTTTTTTTCCTGCTTTTTGAACAAAAACACCTGCATTTTTATCCTGTCTGAACTGCAATGTCTAGTCCTAACTCCTATTAATTCTGTAGGAAAATCCACAGCATTTGATCTCCTGAGGAGTTATCTGACTAGCAAAATAAATTAGGTTTTCCTCTTGAGGCAACATCCACAGGTTGTAATGTTTATGAATAACCTCTGTCCTCAACCTAAGCCACTGTCACTTTATCGGTACTCCAAAGTGACTGAATTCTGTAAACAGGGCTTTGGGAAAAGGCTGTGCCGGGAGAGGGCAAGCCACGCCCCCACTCCGCCCCAGGCATCTCTGCAAGTCACCAGTGAGCTGAGTGTGGTTGAGCTCCAGTTACAGAACATTTAACAAGACACAAAGCCCCTGTTGTTTGTGCTGAGTTTGCTGCATCCAGGCGGCTCCCTTGGAGCAAATCCACAAGCAAGAGGCAGGTGCAGCCATCTGCACGCCAGGGGCCATAATTCTTAGGAGACTTGGAGAGGAATCGTCTCTGCTGTGCAGCTGTGCAGTGTGCTGCCCCTTGCAGGGTGCGTCTCAGCTGTGCTTGGAAAGGGCCTTTATTACGGGGCTGCTGGGAGTCAGGCAGAGGGGCGGGGTAGAGTTCTTTTTAATGGTGTCAAGGTCAATATTATCACCTTACTTCGGCTGGCGTATACTGGCCAATTCTAATTGAGATTCTGTACTCAAGAAACTTTGAAGATGACTGCTAATGGTGAAGGTGTTTTGGGTTTGGGTTTGGGTTTGGGTTTTGGTCTGTTCAGTATGACTTCCTGTGGAGGTCTGGGTCTCCTCCTGTCCTGACTTCCCTCCATGCAAGTGACAGAGTCCCCACTGCCTGCCACACGTGCTTTTATGTTTATCTCTTCAATTCAGTCTTCCTAAGACCTCTGTGGGCTGGATACCTTTGAAGAAGGTGATGAAACCAAGTCCTGCTCATCTCAGCAGCAAGAAGCAGCTGTAGTGGATGGGGCTTTCAACAGGGGCCACTTCTTCATGCAAGACCACTCTGTGTGGTCAAGGTTAGCTTGGGGCCAGGAGTTTCTCCAGAGAGAATTGGAAATGAAGAGCCTGAAACTAGGGGACATCACAGGCTCCTGTCCTTCCCTAGAGGTCTCCTCTCTCCCTGTTGGCTGACTGAGGTGTCTACATTTATACCTGTCAGAAATGCACCCTTGATACTTCCCTCTATCTCTTTTCCCTCCACTTTGCCTTGTCTGGGAGCTTAATCTTGTCTGACTGAGTTTTCAGCTTATCAGTGAGCTTCTGAAAACGAGGCAGCCACGCTGAATCTGCTGCCGGTTTGTGGGGGCCAAACTCACGCTGTCCCCGCTCAGCCTCAGGGCTCGCCTTGGCAGGGAGATGGGCCCCACTGAGGCAGAGGGGCTCTGCCCTTCTCCATCTGTGACATTTTTAGCAATGAAGTCATTTTTAATTGATTTCTAAACTTCTCCGAGCAGTTATAAGGCCAGTAGTCTCCACAGTAGAGTACATATATCCCACGAGTGTGGAAAGACAATATTAGAACTTCTAAGTAGATTAAGTTCATATAGGTAAGAAGTCACATGTCACACTCCACCCTGAAGGATGCTAAAGTGATCGTGGGGAGGCAACCCACACGTAAATATGAAGAAACAATAGAGGTGATAGTTCTAATCCTGGTATGAAATGTGCCTTATCAACAGCCATATTATGAGGTTAAAAAAAAACCCAACTAATCACAACTGCTAAGAAGTCAGACAAAAGAATTGAATGATTAAGGGAACTATTGGGAATGTGGATTGAGGTTCATTCTCATTGTTGCTGGCCCTTACTCTAAGTACATCGTGCTTTGTAATATTAGCCAGTGATAATATTGTAGGAAATTATACATACATAAACACACGTATGTTAAGGGTCAGTGAATGAATAGGTTTCACTTGAGGGCAGCACAATCCAAATACTTAGGAGAGCTTGGTCTAGGCCAGCATGTCCCCAGCAGTGTGTCCTGGAACACAAGTCCCTCAACATGTTCACGCAAAGTTCTCACACCCCCACTTTATGAACGGGCTCATGGATTACCTGAAGCATTCCCCTGCCTCCGGAACAAGCAGGCAAAGTGCTCACTAATCACTTTGGATTGTATATATTTACCTAGTGTCATTGATCATTGTTTGCTCCAAACCTGTTTTGCCACTTGTACTTGTCATTGTGTTTGAGTAATTTAATTCATATTGTGTAAACCAATGAAATAGTACAAAAAGAAAGAGATCTCTTCTATAAAAACTAAGTTGAAATGAATAAACTGCAGTACATCCAATCAATGGAATATTATTCAGCACTTAAAAGAAAGGCACTATCAAGCTGCAAAAAGATGTGAAGGAAAAATAAGTGCATGTTACTAAGTGAAAGAAGCCAATCTGAAAAGGCTACATAGTGTATGATTCCAACTATATGACATTTAAGAAAAAGCAAAACTATGGAGACATTAAAAATATCAGTGCTTGCTAAGAGTTTTGAGAAGAGAAAGGATGAATAGAGCACAGAGGGGTTTAGAGCCTTGAAACTACTCTGTATGATACTACAGTGGGGGACCCATGTCATTATACATTAGTCCAACCCGTAGTTTCTGAACTGTAATGTAAACTATGGACTTTGAATGACAATAATATGTCAGTGTAGTTCTTCAGTTGTAACAGTTGACCACACTGGTGAGGGATGTTGATTTTGAGGGAGGCTGTGTGTTGGGAGTGGGGGCAGGGGATGTATGGGAACTCTCTGTATTGTCAGCTCAATTTTTCTGTGAACCTAACACTTTTATTCAAAAATGATGCATTTGGGTTATTTTATTGTCTACATTTTTTCTCCTCAAAAGGAAAGAAACAAACTAAAGAACACTAGAGATTGTAGACCATGTACAAGTGTCACAGTTTAAAGAAGAAAGATGGCACAGGACTCCAGTTAGTGGGTATATACAAAGAAAAGCCTAGGCTTTATGGAATAAGAGTGGCAAATATTTGCATATTGGTGTATTTTTAAGTTAAATAAAATGTGTAAGATAGCATATGTGATTTTTTTAAGCATTCTCTCGTATAACAGACTTCTTGATTTGAACAACCAGCTCTTAAGCTCAATTGCTTTAGATAAGAGGCTTTCTACCATATTTTGCAGGAGTTGAGAGGAAAAGGTTTTGTTTGTTTTTTGTCAAAATAAGTTTGAGAAACTTGGAGTAATCAATGTTAAAAAGACTTCTTTTCTCCAGACTTTCGTAGAGACTTTACTGACCTACGGTGAATTATAAATCTCCAGGGCAGAAAGAGAGAGTACGAAATGTTCTTTAAATTTATTTGACCACTTGAACCCTTTCTTCCCCTTGGGGACATCTGTCATCAACTCACGGAACTAGAGTTCTGGGGAGCAGTTTGAGAAACGCAAGAGTAAAAGTACACACCTAAGCTTGAAGCAACAAGGTTTTCAACCTGCCCATGTTTTGGGGGTCTGCTCCTCCTGGTTGGGAAAACAACCTTGATTGGTTTGCCTTTAAGTTTCAGTTCTGCCTCAGCTTAGGACCCAGGGGCCACTCAGGCACAGAGGGCTGATGGCTGCATTAGAGAAGTGAAATATCAGCAAAGAAGAAGATGGGCCTTTCCTAGAGGGAGGAGGCTACACGGGGGCAGGGGGAGGGGTGCAGAGCATGTTCAGAGAAAGTGGAAGTCGTTTGGCCACCAAAAAGTTAAAGTTTCCTGCAGGCAAAGGACATGGGAACATGGCAGGTGGGCAGGGAAGGGGAGAGCAAGTGGGGGCGGGGGGGAATGGGGAAACCTATCACTGAACAACAATAAAAAAAAATTTAAAAAAAGGACATTGGAACAGAGTGAGAGGGAAGAACAAAACCCTAACTCAGCCCCCAGCGTGCTGTCTCCCGCCTACTGCCATGCTCCTGTCAAAAACTGCTCATCTTAAAGAAGCCAAGACCACACTTACTGTCGATGAGACACATTTAGAGACTGCCAACTCCACTTAGCCAGGAATTATTTCTCTTGGATGAATTCTGCTCTTTTTGGCTTTCCCTGCCTGCCTACAGATGCAGATGCATGTCTGAACTTGAACTCATGAGAAGCATGCTCAGAAGATTTCTCAGCACGCATGGAAAATACTTCCCCTTCAGCTAAGCCCAGAGCTGAAGCCCAAACCAGTCCTGTGGGTATTTTACAGGTGATTGTCCCCAAACAAGAAGTATGTGATGGATGTGGTCCCTCACCAGGCCTCTCTGAGCCAGACATCTGCCCCTAAAATTTCCTGGGAAAAGTACCCAGTTCCTTGTCTGCAGTACACACGAGCTCTGTCTTGTCGAAGCTTAGATTTGTAAGTCTTAAACGTCTTAAAAAGTGCGAACTTCTAGGCACATGAACTCTTTAATGTCTGCTTGCCTTTATTGTCCAAAAGGAAAAGCAAAATCAGATGTATTTGTTTATGATGGAAAGTAGACAATTGTAGAAGAAACAGGGAATCCCATTTTCAAAAACAGGCCACCTCCCCTGTAAATAACATAGTAAGTGCAAATGCCAGAGGCTCCTGCTCTGTCATAGCACGTCTCTGGGAAGATTGCACTAGATGCTTCCTCATATCGGCACTGAGTCTCCTGTCAGGAAAATGAAAATGTGAATCAGAAATCTCATCTGAAAATAGAAAGAGCTGGGGACAGGGAGGGGCTCTTTATGTGCTCTTGACGGTGGCCAGCACCCTCCACAGAAAAAGAGTGAGGCGGGGCCGGTCTCCTCCCTCCGACCCTCTGCGTCTCTCTCTGTTTCAAGACAGCTGGGGGGCCATGCACGAGGCGAGGAGGTAGGAGCTACCCACACAGCTAACATACACGTGTGCGTTTGCTCTTCCATATGTAAGTTGAGTGTTGACATACATCCATTGTTCTAGTGTTGTCATATTATTTTTAAATTTGATTTTATTTGTTTAACCTGGTTCAAAACTCAAAATGATATTAAAAATACATATTTAGAAGTCTTGTTGCCACCACTGACCCTCTTTTTCCACCCCCTATGTAACCACTTTGAATTTGTTTTTCACGTACTGTTTCAGGGCTTTTTATGCATATACTAATCATTCCTCTTGCAATACCTACTTACTGAGCACATACAGTGCTCCAGGCCTCTGTATTTTTGGCACTGTTTTGGGGATGCATCCTTACTGTTGTGGAGCAAAAAATCCTTACCCTCATGGAGTTTATCATCTAAAGGGGGTAGAGAGACAAGAAGCAATAAACATAAGAAATAAGAAAATAGTGGAGTAAGGAGAATGGTGCGACTGGAGATTTGAAGGCAGTACGTGGCAACGTGAAATAGGGTGGTCAGGATAGACTTCACTCACTGATACAGTGACGTTTTGAATGAAGTTTGAAGAAAGCGAGGGAATTTGCTCGATGGGTATCTGGAGGAAGAGCATTGCAGACAGAACCACAGCCCCTGTGAAGTCCCTAAGCAGAGCATGCCTATCATATTCATGGGACAGCAGAGTCCAAGTGTGGCTGGAACGGAGAGTGTGAGGGAGAGCGGGAGAGGAAGTCAAAGAGGACGGGCGAAAGGAGAGCTCGGCACGCGGGGCCTTGCAAGGACTTCAGTGTTTACTCTGAATGTAATGGGGGGGCCTGTCCAAGGTTTTGAGTGCCATGACCTGACTTATATTTTAATAGAATCTCTCTGGCTGCTATTTGGAGACTGGACAGTGAAGGAAGAAAGGGTGAAATAAGGGAGAGACTGGTTGGGAGGCTATTCCAACAGTCCATGCAAGGTGGCTCAGACAAGACTGGGAGCAGTGAAAGCACTAAGTGGTTGGACCCTGGGTATATTTTTGAAGTAGTCACTAATAGGTTGCTTATGGAGAAAGAGAAAAATCCATGGTAACTCCAAGATTTTTGACCTGAGCTATTGGATGAACAGAATTGCCGTCAGCTGAGATGGCAAGTTGGGGAGGAAAAATCAGGAATTTAATTCAGCACAAGCGAAGTTTGAAATGCCTTTTAGACATCCAAGGAGAGATGCCAAGTGATTGTGAGGTCTAAATTGGAGGGTGGTCAGCATATGGATGTTATTTAGCTGAGAGACTAGATGAGAGAGCCAAGGGATCATCAATAAAAAGAGGTGGACCAAGGGCTGAGTCCTAGGACACTCTCACGTCAAGAGGTGGGAGTGGGGAGCGGGAGAGGAGAACCAGTAAAAGGAACCTAGAAGGAACAAACACTGAGGTAGGGGGAAAGTAGGACAGAGTGGTGTCCCATGTCTGGTGATGGAAGTTTCTCAAGCACAAAGAAATGGTAAACTGTATGAAATGTTGCTGGTGGTCAAGTAAAACCACTGGCTTTAGGCATGTTGCAGTCACATGGTGGTATTGCTCTCATGTTGGTGTTTATGGAGAAATCAGTTTCACTGGAATGGTGGGTAAGTGAGTTTAAGAAGGATTTTGAGAGAAGTCACACACAGTAAGGTTGGACATGTCATTCTGAAAGTTTTGCTGAAAAGGGAGAAAAGAAATGAGGCAATAGCTGACAGGGGAAGTGGGGGTCCAGAGAAGGATTTTTATGTGGGAAAAATAATGTGTGCTATTTTGAATGATCCAGGAAAGAGGGGAGAAGTGGTGATATTGGAGAATGCCAAAGTTTTGGAACAATGAAGTTGAATAAGCTTGAGGAGATATCCTCCCGCTTTATCATATTTATCATATCTTTCTTATAAAAGATAGCATTTTATATCCACTCTTCTGCAAGTTGAATTTCTCACTTAACAATCAATGCTTCTTTTCACATCAGCATAGAGAGATGGTCCTCTCTTTTTTTACAGCTGCATACTATTCCACTGGAAGAATATAGTGCAGTTGAGGTGTCGGTTCCAAGCTTTCTCTGTCTTAAACAATGCTATTCTGAGTAGCTGTGTATATGCCTCATCTCTTATGTGTCATCCCTATTGTGGCTTCAATACAGGAGCTAAAGTTTATAGTCTGTCTACTCTCAACATTTCTAATCTGTGACTCTTTTTTCTCTTTTTTGGATTTCCTCCAGTATTTTTTTTTATTAATTCTATATTCAAATTAATTTTGCCTATAACACCAGGAATATACTGAAAGAGATATAGATAATTGCTCTTCATTTATTTCTGGTAATTGTGTTAAGCCAAAATAATTGTTCAGATACATATAGGTACTTACTGGACATAGATGTCATACAGGACCAATGATAACATTTGGTTTGGGATTTTTAGTTAGGGTAGCAATATCGTTCACTGTCTTCAGAGGTGCTTTTCCAAATCTTTTCATTAGGAATTTTGTTAGATGTGGATCTTCCTTATTTCCATGCTCTAAAATATCCTGTGTCCTCAACTGCCCTCTCCCCCATTTCCCTCTAGTTTCTGTGTATTTGGAAATGACGGCTTGCTGTGTCCAGGGCTGTCAAGGAGAGGTGCTGTCTCATCGTCATTAATGTGTTCAGTGTTTCATGATGTTAGTGTTGGTGTGTTTCTTCCCCTAGACCTTTGGAAACACCAAGTTATGAAAGAAAACTTTCCAGTTATCAGACCATAAATAGTGAAAAAAATTATACAGAGATTAATGGGAAATTACCAGGATGGTAAACTAGAGGTATGTATTAAAAATGAGTCATTCTGCAGTGTGTGGGGTTTTTTTAAACATAAATCCAAATAAGGAAGACTTTGCCCTAAGCCAGGAATTTTCAACCACTGAGCTATGAGAATTTTTAAAACTTGCAGCACCTGACTGTTTAGTCAGAGGCACTCACCTCTTCTCCCTTAGATTGTCAGATTAAAAAAAAGGGTAACAGCCGACACCACATAGCCATCTGGTGTGAATGAATCAAAATTATACCTATTTTTTTGTCACAGAGACAAAAAAATATAATGTATTTTTTCAGTGTGCCACAGAATTTGAGTAATTAGTTTATGTGTGCCATGAGATGCAAAAGGTTGAAGGTCACTTCCCTAAACATATCTCCTCCTGCATCCCTTCCTCCCTTAGAACAAAGCTGTGAGTACTGAGCCTGAACTCAAACGAGTCATCACTTGCTACCATATTAATTCTGGGAAAAGACTGATTTCTAATAAAGATGGGAGAGAAATCAGAATATGCATGTTGACTAATTTCAGATTTGGCCAATTTTTAAAAGTAACCTTGTTGGGGTTTGTTTATGAATGAGCTATTTTAGCAATATTTCCTATTGTTAATTTTTTTAGTATAGAATATTTAAAGAGAGAAACCAAAATAGCCTCTAATGCCGCTAGAAAACATTTTTAAATGTACAATATGAAAGTAAAAAACTTACCCCAGAAAAGTCACATTTTTATCCCTCCTTTACTTGACCATCCCCACTTTCCTCACCACAAAGGAGACCAGTATCAATGCCTGTTCCTGTGCACGCATATTTGAATCCATGACAACTCTATATAGTATACACTCAATACATAAAACATGCACACACACAGCTCATGGGGTTTTGAGCCCTTTAGTCTTGACAGGAAGTGCCTTTCTAAATCAAAGGAATCCACTGAAAAGCCAGAGAGTATATGTGGATATTTGGCCATAACAGAGCTTTTAGGGTTGTTAACAAATTAACTGCAAGTGCATTAGATACATATGAGTCCTGTTTGCTTTGAAATTCAATGATTTTTTTAAAACTCCAGACACACCAAAGCCCTGGATCGGACAGTTTCACAGGAGAATTTTACAAAACATTTAAGGAAGAGCTAATCCCTGTCCTTCTCAGACTATTCCAAAAAATCCAAGAAGAGAGAAGACTCCTAAACTCTTTTTATGAGGCCAGCATCATCCTAATCCCAAAACCAGATAATGACACAAGCAAGAAAGAAAACTACAGGCCAATATCACTGGTGAGTATAAACACTAAAATCCTCAACAAAATATTAGCAAACTGCATCCAGCAATACATTAAAAAGATCATCCACCATGATCAAGTGGGTTTCATCCCAGGGATGTAAGGATAGTTTAATATTTGCTAATCAGTAAATGTAATACATCAAATAAACAAAAGGAAATACAAAAACCACATGATCATATCCATAGATGCAGAAAAAGCATTTGATAAGGTAGAGCATCCATTTATGATAAAAACACTCAGTAAAGTGGGAGTATAGGGGCATACTTCAACAGAATAAATACAATATATGAAAAATCTACAGCCAACATCATACTCAATGGGCAAAAACTAAAAGCTTTTCCACTAAGACTGGGAATTAGACAAGGTTATCCACTTTCACCATTTCTATTCAAAATAGTATTGGAAGTGCTAGCCACAGTAATCAGACAAGAAAAGAAATAAAATGCATATAAATTGGAGAGGAGGAAGTAAAACTATCATCGTTTGCAGATGACATGATAGTGTACATAGAAAACCCCAGAGACTCCACCAAAAGACTACTTGACCTAATAAATAAAGTTGGCAAAACAGCAGGGTGCAAAGTCAATATTCAGAAATCAAAGGCATTTTTGTACAGCAACAATGAAATATCAGAATCAGAAATCAGGAAAAAAAAATCTCATTTGCTATAGCAAGAAGAAAACTAAACTACCTTGGAATAAACTTAACCAAGGAGGTAAAAGACCTATATGCAGAAAACTATCCAACACTGAAGAAAGAAATTTAGAGTGACACAAATAAATGGAAGCATATACTGTGTCATGGACTGGAAGAATTAACATCATCAAAATGTCCATACTACCCAAAGCAATTTATAGATTCAATACAATCTCTATTAAAATACCAATGATGGATTTCACAGATATAGAACAAACATTACAAAAATTTATATTGAACCATAAACAACCCCAAATAGCTGCAGCAATTTTGAGAAAGAAGAACAAGATAGGAGGGATCATAATACCTGAAATCAAACTATATTAAAAGGCCACTGTAATCAAAACAGTCTGGTACTGGCATAAGAACAGACACATAGATCAATGGAACAGAATAGAGAGCCCAGAAATAAACCCATATCTCTATGGTCAATTAATATTTGACAAAGGTTGCAGAAGCGTTAAATGGAATAAAAATAGTCTCTTCAACAAATGGTGTTGGGAGAGCTGGACAGCTACATGCAAAAAAATGAAATTCGACCACCAACTTACACCATACACAAAAATAAACTCTAGATGAATAAAAGACTTAAATATAAGTCATGACACCATGAAAATCCTAGAGGAGAACATAGGCAGGATACTCTCAGATATCCCATGCTGCAATATTTTTTCCGATATGTCCCCTAGAAGAAGAGACATAAAGGAAAGAATAAAGAAATGAGACTTCATCAAAATAAGAAGCTTCTCCATGGCTACAGAAAACATCAACACAATGAAAAGGGAACCAACCATATGGGAAAATATATTTGCCAATGATATCTCAGACAGGGGTTTGATCTCCAAAATATATAAAGAACTCACATGACTTCACTCCAGGAAGACGAACAATCCAATGAAAAAATGGGCAAAGGACCTGAACAGACACTTCTCCAAGGAGGACATACACAGGACTCAGAGACATTTGAAAGGATGCTCATCATCACTAGCCATCATAGAAATGCAAATTAAAACCACAATGAGATACCGTTTCACACTGGTCAGAATGGCCATCATAAAGAAATCAACAAATAAGTGCTGGTGAGGTTGTGGAGAAAAGGGAACCCTAATACACCGTTGGTGGGAATGCAGACTTGTGCAGCCACTGTGAAAAACAGTTTGGAAGTTCCTCAAAAGGCTAAAAATGGAACTGCCTTTTGACCTGGCAATTCTACTGCTTGAATTATACCCTAAGAATCCTGAAACACAAAATCAAAAGAACCTATGCACCCCAATATTCATAGCAGCACATTTTACAATAACCAAGTGCTGGAAGCAGCCTAAGTGCCCATTAGTAAATGAGTAGATCAAAAAACTCTGGTACATTTACACAATGGAATACTACACAGCAGAAAAAAAGAAAGAGCTACTACCCTTCATGACAGCATGGATGGAACTGCAGAGCATTATGCTAAGTGAAAGAAGCCAGGGGGTGAAAGACAATACCATATGACCTCATGCATAAGTGGAAGCTATTCAAGAAAACAAACAAACAAGCAAAATATAATCAGCAACATTGAAAGAAAAAAGAAGATGAGAAGGAAGTAGGGAGTGGTGTAATGGGTAAAAGAAGGAGAAGGGTCAAATCAAGGAGCATGAATAAAAGACCCACGGACAAAGCCAAAGTGAGGAAGGATTGAGGGTGGGAGGTGGGGGTGGGTAGGGCAGGGGAAAGCAGTGGGGGGAAAATGGAGACAAATGTATTTGAACAATAAATTTAAAAAAAAAGAAATTCAATGATTTTTTTAAAAAATGTAGTGTAGCAAAATGGGCTCAATTTTTACATGGCAACATTTTCTCCAAAATTACATGTTTAAGCTCTTCAAATATTCCCCATAATTTTATAATCACTTCAGTTCTGAATCATAAGGTGGAGAATCCACAGTCTTGCTTGAGGATACATTTCTCCTCAGCACTTGATGATTTGCATGTATTTGCTTTAAGTTTCCAGTTACACCCAGGTGTGATACTGTGTGCTCTGTTGAGGAGGAAGTGGTTCCTTTTGGGTCCCTGCAGCTCAGAGGTTCTCAGCCACAGGCACAGAGGTGTCTAGAGAGGGGCTCAGAAAAGCATTTGAGTCAGAAAAATTTGTGTGGCTCTCCTTAAAAAGGAAGGAAATTCTGACACGTGCTTGATCATGATGAACCTTGAAGACATTATGGTAAGTGAAATAAGCCAGTCACAAAGCACAAATGCTGCATGATTCCCTCACACGAGGCCTCGAAGAGTAGTCTGATTCATAGACAGGAAGTTGAAAAGGGTTGTCAGCAGTGAGAGGGAGGAAGAGTAGGGAGTTAGCTTGCAGAAGGTATAGAGTTTCAGTTTTGCAAGATGAAGTGTTCTAGAGATTGATTGCACAACAGTGTGAATGTACTTAGTGTCACTCAACTGTATACTAAAAAAAAGCTAAAATGGCAAATTTTACAGTATGTAGATTTTACCACAATAAAAACTAAAAGTTTGTGACTCAAGATCTACTCCTCCCCTATCTATATACTTCACCCCAACACTGAAGACAGGATCTCTAGGAACGGAATGCGGGTATCAGCAGCCAGGGCAAACCCACATCAGATACCACTGAAACTCAGGGCACACTGGGGACACTGGTTCTGTATTGGAATAGCAGGACCTCAGGGTGTTAGGTTCCTCCAAAGTCTGTGCCTGCTGGGCTTCTAGCCTCTCCTGGGTCATCTGCAGTGACAGGGACTCACTCTTCCAAACCTCCCGACCCCTGACTCCTGGCAGCTCTTACAGAGCTGGAGTTGGCCTCCCTACCATCTCCACCATGGATCTTGGCTCTGTCCCTGGTTCCGACCCCTCACAACAAGCTGTTAGATATCTGAGGGCAGGTCAGTCAGAGAAGCTCAACTGGCGCCCTTGCTAACACGTGCGGAGCTTCCATAAGATTACAACCAAGGGCCTGCTCTAGGGGGGACAAACCCAAGCAGGTGGTGGATTGCAAATCATTACCCTCTCCTCCAGAAGATCGCGGCCCGGTGCCAGGGCACGTGAACTGGGAAATGGAGCAGGCGCCGGCTCTCCCCTCACCTGGGGGCCTGTGCCAGCCTCCTGTGCTTCAGACTAACCCACCTTCACTTCCTTCATCACTTTACATGGGCACCCCTACCATCCTGATCAGTGTCCTCTAAAGTCAAGGTCATCTGGCCAGCAAAGAGTGCCCTTGACCTGTGGGTGTTGTGCTTGATGAACGTACTTGTGGTGGGGTTTGGGCGGCCACATCAAGGCTGACTCATTAGGCTGACAACACCTTGCCTTTTCGCATCCTGCTGCTGCCATATGATTAGTCTTGTTCTTGTTCACTTTGAACCCCCTGAAATCTTTAAAAATCTGGATTTTTATCATCCAGCATATACCCTCTCCCTCCCTGCTCTTGATATCCGCATTCTAGTCATTAATAACAGTGCATGACAGGACAGGCCCCAAGCCCTGGGCTACCCACTCTGGGTTCCCTCCAGGCTGACCAGGTTCCTTGGGCACAGTCTGTCAGTGGCCAGAAGCCCATCCAGTTGGTCTGTTCTCCATTTGTCCAGGGACATCAGGAGAAACCTTTGCAGACATCCTGCTGAAACCCAGTGGCCTGATAAGACCCTCAGATATGCACACACAGACCCACTCACTGATTCGCCTAGAGGGACACATAGAGACCTATAAAGACACTTATAGAGGCGGGGGCATACACAGACTCACACACACACTCGGGCATACCCACAAACGCACATACACACTGATACAGATGCACAGACACTCACATAAACACTCACAGACACTCAGGCCCTAGTCAAGTAGATCTAACCTTCCACATACTGGCTCCCGTTTCTCTCTAGAGACCAAAATCTAAGCCTGTCTTGGTGGGGTGGGCATTTCTTCTGTTCCTGAACGGCCACCTCTTCAAAATGGGGCCAAATCTCTCGGACAAAAGGAGGGAATGGGACTGCTTAGAGAGCGAGCATAGTATGGCCCTTCAGCCAGAGGGAGAGGGACCCCTGCCCTATGTCCCATGCTTCAGAGGGCCCCCTGGCTCTCCTCCAGCCCCGCCCTTCCTCACAGAGTGAGAAACCCACACAGCCTGGCGATCGGGCACACTCAGGCCCTGGCCTTCCTTCCAGATCACGCTCCAGTGCCGGGGCCCCGGAATTCCCCAGGACTTCCTCCCCAGGGCTTCCTCCCCAGGTGATCCTCCCTGGAGGGAGAATGGACCTCACCGCCAGTATGTACACCCGGGTCTGAGAGATGGCTCAGGGCAGCTCGCTGCGGGGGTGGACGGCTGGGCTGCTGTCCGCTTCAGTGCACACAAGGGCCCTCCATGGCACGACGTGAGGCCAGAGTGGGGAAGAGATGGGGTTTGTACTGTGAACTGGGGGATAAGTATCTCTCCCCAAGTCATCACCACATTTTAGCATAGAACTCAGAGTAGTCCAAGAATAGTACATTCAAACCTTGCCTTCCAAGTTATTTTTGAAGATCTATTTTCCAAAGCAGGATAATACAATATTTTCATTTTATTAGTTTGTTAGTTTGATTTCTAACCTTTAAAGAGTTAGAATATTTAGACATATGGTGTGCGGGCCTTCATTTACACTCTTGTCCCTGGTCCTGCACTTGTTAAAGGCCAGGGACAAGCCTGTGAGAGAGGCTTACAAGGCTTGAGCTGACGTTTCCTACAGAGGAGAAATTGAAGAGGGTCTGTGAGCCAAGGGAGCCTGGGCTGTGAGCCCTGGTGCGCGAGGCTGCCCTGCTGGAGCTGCTGCGAATGGCGCCCCTTCCTCTTCAGATCACTTTCAGGAAAGAGCACCTGGAGGCCTGCCTCCTTTCCCTGGGCTGTGACATAATGGCAAGGGAGCGCAGCAGCTTCGAGGGCTACTCCATGTGTTACGAGCACATGTTGGAGCACGTGAGGCGGGAGCTCTGCCAGAAGGAGCAGGTGTGTTCCCAGAGACCAGAACTGTAATGGGGAAGCTGTGGGCGGGGGGGGCCTGGGAATTGCTGTGAGGATGAAAGTGAAACGGAGGGTAGGGAGAGGTGTTCACACGTAAGAACAGAGAGGGACTGGCACTCCTATTGGCTCATTTCCTTGGGCCGGTGTTCTCAGCCACAAAGTGGTGGCTCCGGCAAGAGTGGGTTGTGTGCTTTGGAGGTGTCTAGCGGGGAATGTATGAGCTGAGTGACAAAGGTGCTGGCTCCTGGGGAAGATGCATAGCTGACCATCCCGCCCTTGACAAACACGAGGCACCTCGTGCTGTTCCTGGTCTAGCAGGGAAGCCAGGATCCTTAGTAAACTCTGTGTTCAGGGTGCACATCATGGCTCTCGCTGATGAGACTCCCTTAAAATGAGACTCCACTGGTGGGATCCAAGAGTCACTTCTCCTGTCCTAGACTGCACACTTTCTGAAATGGATTGCATCAGAGGTTCAGCATAATGTTAATGTCTACCTAAGCAAAGTGCAAAAGTCTGAGTAAATGGCGCATGCGAATATCAAATAATGAGTCTTAGCTTTTGCCCACAGTTTGGCTTAGCCCCATAGCTGAGTCCTCTGCTGCAGTGTGAATGCCTGGAAGGGGATGCGGTCTTCAGAGGCTGGACTGGCATCCCAGACCACAGTCCTGGCTCTAAGTGGAGCCCAGGGATCTAAATGAAGCTGCGTTAGCACAAATAGGAAGTGTCTGGGGCGTGTTACCCTGAGTTAGAAGAATAAATGTTTGAGTTGTGCACTGCTTCCTTCTCTTCAGGAACTGGATATTTTAGAGTCCACCCGAAGACAATGCTGGTCAAGTAGGTCAGTTATTACTGAAGAGTTTCTCTTCTCCGGGTCTCAAGTCCGCAGCCTCAGCAGTAGACCCGTGACTTCCTGGTGCTCTTTTCCTGAGCCCTGTCAGGAGCAGCCTGTGGGAGTCCCGCCACAGATGGTCTGCTGCAGAAACCCCCAGGTGCTTTCAGTTTTTAAGCAATGAGGGCTTTTTTGGGTCATGTTTTGTTTGTTTGCCTTTTAGTTATTTTTGTAGATTTGGGTTTTTTTATTTTTGTTGTTATTTTGGGATTTTGGGAAGAAGGGGTTGTTTGTTTCTTTCAAGGGCGAGGTACACTTCCAAAGGAGAAGAGGTAATTGGCTGAAATGTCAAGGGAAGGTCTATTTGGAGGTGGAGGCCGAGATAAAGTATTTTCTCCAAATGAAAAGCACTTGATTAGTGTCTCTGGTAGGGTCATTTGTTCAGCAACCATTTACTGAGCACCTACTATGTGTCTAGCACTGTTCTGGGATCCTCAAACCAAACTATTCTTCCATCCACATTTACTTAATAGGATATTTACCTTCTTCATTTGGTTCAAAGCAGAAGTGCAAATTGTAGTGGTAGTTTGGAATTTGTGAAAATCTTCCATTAAAAAAAAATAGTATTTCTGCTGCTAGGTTGCAGAGCCCAGTCATAATATGATCATGGAAATCACTGCTCTGAGAGCCCGACTTGCAGACTTGAAAGAGGGGATTCTGAATCTTGAAAAGCAAATCAGAAAAGAAGTGCAAGAAGAATATGAAGATGTAGTCAAAACTCTATTTATGGCATGTTTACACATGAAAGTAAGTGACCTGCGTCAGATGTCAGGGCAGGCCCGCAGGGAGCGGGTGTAACTATGCAGCAATACGGTGGCTGCACGCAGAAGGATCAGTGACAGAGCAGGCTTTGTCGTGGCAAGAGTTCTCCAGCCCTAAGCTTTCTCTACAGAGCATGAGTAAGTAGTGGGTTGCCCTGATTTTACCATGATAGACACTGAATTTTAGGTAATTTAGAAATTTGCTGTTTCCCTCACTCTCCTGCCAGGTGAGGGAAGGAAGGAGGTGTCTTCTCCAGTGTCTACCGAGTGTGACCATCCAAACAAGAAAGGGTAGTGCCCTGGGCCAGGCCAGACCACAAAGTAGGGAGCAACAGGCACCTCCTGAAAGCTCGCCAGGCAGATTCAGAATTTGGATCAGCTTTCAGAGAAGTTTCCAACCCTCGAAGTGGCCACCAGCCTTTCTCTAACATCCGGTGTCAGCGCCGCTGACCTGTCAGCTGAGCCTACCTGGAAGAGGAAGGATGGGGCGCCCGTGTGTTCACAGCGCTGTGGGGGCCTGTCACTTTCTTAGGATTCCCGAGCAGCTGTAAATGGGGGCCCCCTGCCTAAAATGGGCCATCGCAGAGCCTGGGCCATTTGTCCCACAAGTGTGACTTTCAGTCCAAACACACCACCCTGCAGCCCACTGCCCCCTTCCTGTTACTGTAGGTCTTTCAGAGCCAGCCCCCGCTGGGTGCTTACCTCCTATCTCCCCTGTGGATTCCCTGGCTCTCCCTGGTTTATTATACCGAGAGGCGGTTTTACGGATGCTCTGCCTGGCCTGTTCATTCCAGGCAGGATAGAGGATTCCTTCTTGCTTGTGAAGGGCCTGCAAAGTACAAGCACTTACAAATATTAAAGGACCAAAACCAAAATGCACGGGGCCTGCTGCTACAGGGCAAGGGTGAGCAGCGAAGCTGAAATCTGCTCCAGGGGTGTCCAAGCTTTTGGCATCGCTGGGCCACACTGGAAAAAGAACAGTTGTCTTGGGCCACACATTAAATACACAAACACTAATGGGAACTGATGAGCCAAAAAAAAGGTTTTAAGTAAATTTATGGTTTTGTGTTAGGCCGCATTCAAAGCCATCCTGGACTGCGGGTTCTTTGGACACCCCTGTAATACAGCCATATTTTGGGTGTGAAATTGTTGGAAATGTCTTAAGTTCTTTTTATCTTCTGCCAGATTCCTGGACAAAAAGTGGATTCTGTACTTCTCCCAGGTTAAACGAGTTCTACAATCCTCCCCCACCAAAGTAGGGTGTCCCTGTTCTACCCCAGGGCCCCAGAGAGTAGCAAAGCTTTTGCTGTGGCCAGCCAGCAGCTAGGCTCCCTGCTGGACCCTCCCCTTGCACCTTCCTCTCCAAGGAAGTAGTTCAAAGGTGAGAGGACACCCCACTCTCACTTCTTACCCCAAAACACTGGGTCTCTGGTAGCACTTATTAATGATCAAGTTATTTTACCATAAGCCATTAGCGGTAAGCCATTCAGAACAGGCTGTTTCATAATGAGGTTTCTGCTGGGGCCTAACTAGGAAGGCAGGGAACCTGATTCCTCCCTCTGCTTTATCTCGTTTTAATGGACTTCCCAGTTTGTGGTCCTCTACAGAGTTTTGTCAGGTCAGATTCTGCTGAGTCAATCTGGTAGCAAAAATTCCTAAGGTTAAATGCCCAAGTAAGCATTGAGGAGGAGGGGGTCAGTTTTCTACCTGTGATCTCCCAGTCTTCTCTCCCCACTCAGCTTGCCTTGGCATCTGACAACCTAGGCCGGCTCTCAGATGACGAAGCCCTTCATGGAAGACAACACTAGAGGGGCTGCTAGTGAGACACTGGTAATACCCGGTGAAAGGATTGTCTGGGTGGATGATTTTTTTCATGTGAAATCATTTCTAAAAGTTGCATTTTAGAAGGCAAAATGACTCTTCCTCAGCCGCCCTTCCTGAACTTGAGTCTGCAACTTGTAGGAGAAGTTGAATGAGAACCAGCTTCACTTGATCCAGAAAGTGTGTGAGCTCATCAGTGAAGTGAGAACAGAATGGACTGAGCATGTGAAGGACCTAAAGAAAAAATGGGGCTCGGCCAGACCTGATGAAGGAATAAATGGAAACTCAGCCAAAGTATGTGATTTCATTTAGCAATGGGATAGCAACTCTCCCTCCCAGCCCCCGACCCCAGTGCTCGCTTCGTTTGCACTCCAGCCCAGTTTCCCTAAGAAAGCAATGCATCAAGCATCTTAAAAGGGCACTGGTGCTCACGGCACAACTCTGTCGTTTTCTGGAAGGCGTGTTTCTGATGTCAGGGCCCTTGCCCTTCAAAGAAAAGTGTTGGGGGCAGCCTTTTCTGAAAGTGAGCCTTCTTAGCAGGAGCAGCCGCGGGACTGGGAGCAGGAGAACAGCAGCCTGGCAGCTCTAGTGTGCAAAGTGCGGATCCTGGGCCGCTGGAGGCTGGCTGCGCAGCAGGCTCGCCTCCGGGCCAGCTGAGCCGGCCGGAGAAGGTGAGCGGTGGGAGGGGAGGCCTGGACCTGGGGGCTGGGCTTGGCTGGTGGGCTTGGCTGCAACAGCTCTGTCCCTCTTAAAGGACCTGACAGAAGACCATTCTTCCAGGGAAAGGACAATGTCGGAGCCTAGAGAAGTAGGAAAGAGCCAGAAACAAATTTTGGGAAAACAAATCAGAGAGTTGAGCATGAGGAAAGGGAAAATATGGAGGAGAGATTGTACTGAGGGCTTGAGACAGCTTCTTCAAAATGCGTCAAATATTTGAGTTTCAAACATGAATATTTGAAGAAAATGAGGTAACAATATAAGTGGAAAATCCTACTCTAAGGTAAGTTGAAACCAAAGCGTATGTTAGTAGTGGTATAGAAACTTCTCCTTACTCTTTCTGAAAGTCTTTGCTCTGTCACACTGCTCTCGACGGAAATGATGGAGGCAATGACCAGCAGGAGGCCCTGGTACCACAAGTTCTGAAGAAGAGTGGATGGTGAGGTAGTTTAGAAACAGCTCATTAAGTTGAAAATATGGAAAGGAGAGGTATTTCCTATCTTATTATATCTGGGAGGTTCACAGGAAGCCATACAAAGTAAAAAAGAGTGTTTGAGCATCAAGCTAATGGCAGAACAAGAAGTGGTTTTATTTCGTCAGCAGTTACTGGCCCTGAGGTGGGCCCTGGCCAGGGCTCAGGCCCACAGCATGAGGATGTGCGAGCCACAGGAGAGCCAGGTGCCTGGGCTCAGGAGCTCTTCCTCCCTCTCTTTGAGCACTCTCTGCAAAGCTGATGTGGTCACCAGAGCGCCACAATGTGAAGCGAGCAGATGGCACGGACAGGGAAAGATGGCCCAGACCTTGGCTTCCCTTTCCCCTCCTTTCCAGCACAGAAACCAAGAGTGGTGGCCAAAAGGCTTTAGTTCTTATTCATATTTGGCTAAGATGGTGATGTGTTACTTACACTTAAGATTATTCAAGATTGTTCATGGTGGGCCAGGGGGCCTCCATCTGAGGATCTTTTCACCCAGAAGGCATCCTGGGGGCTGGGTCTCTGCCTTGAATGCAATCCTTTCATCTTCCGAGCATGCTTCCCATTGACAGTGACCCTCTGCCTGTGGAGTGTGGCCCAGCTGTCAACATCGTGCCCCAAGCAGACTGCCTTGGGTCCTTTCCTGATGACCCATGTGCTAAGTTTTCATTTCTTATTTTGCTGCTCAGTAGGGGCTGGCACCAAAATAAAGGTGTTTCCAAGTCTAAGCTCTTAATAACTGTGCCAGTCCTCTGAGCATGAAGAAAGCAGAGAGACCCTCGGCTGAGAGAGAAGAACTAAGTTTAAATAACAGCCTGGGAAAGCTGGGTATATTCAAGATACAGAGTATGATTGTTTCCTTTTGGATCCTAATTTCTCCATCATGTGCACCAGGTTAAGTGTATTACATAAACTGCAAAGTTATTATACAAGTCCTCAACATCATTGACAGGTTCTGCGACTTTAAGCTAAATGATGCATAACAAAACCAATTTTACCATAGGCTAATCGACGTAAACAAGAGTTAAATTCCTATAGCATCTCATCAATGTTAATAATGAAATAACGTTGGACAAAATGATGTTATTCGAAGACCTGCTGCATTAATCATTGTGAGTAGTACTATAACCAAGGGTTGACCATATGGTACTTATGATGCTCCTGATTAGAAAAATTTCAGAACAGAAACAAATTATTACTACTGTTTTCCTTCTTTAAACACCTGGAACCTGGCTTCCCCAAAGCCATTTTGGAAGCCAAAATGGAGGCAAGAATAGACCCTCCCTCCCCTACTCACTGCACCTCTTAGATCACTCTGTCCCCCCAGGTTAAACCTTCCCTGCTCTCTCATGATAAATGCTCAGTGACAATGCAGATGCAGTTTGTGATTGATATGACTCTGGTTAATAAGCTAAGAAACACACATTATAACCAAATTTTGGTATTAAAAGACCAAATTATCTGGTCGAGTATTGCTGTATAGTGGCAATATCACTTGTCTGGCTGTGATTGTTGTGTATTTGTTTTGTTCTCCCCTGGACTGTTGCCTTGGGGCTCACAATAAATCCGTGCTGGCCTACATCCTGGCCGATTTGCTGCTGGCTGGGCTGTATCGCCCTAAACAGAGGAATACTCCACGCGGTTCTGCCCCTGGGCCCCAAAGAGGCCCCCCAACCTCCAGCTCCCTGCCTTGTGCCGGGAAGAAAGACTGCACCTTCCTGCTTTCCTTTGGCTTTTCCTTTCACAGGCTCAACTGCTAAAAGAATTAGAACACAAAGTGACGCAGGAATCTGCCCACTGGCAGCAGCTGGATTTACTGAAAACTCCAGCAAAAAGAAGCTCTTGGAAGACATGGAGCAAAAAGGACTGCAGCTGCAGCTCCTTCCTGAAGCGGCTGGGCGGGCTGCTCCACCGGGCCGGCTCCAGAGGAGGAAACTCCAGAGAGGACTCTGACAGGCAACTCCAGTTACGGGTAGCAGTGGCTTGAAAGCAAATCAGGATGCAACCGTCAGAACCCTTTCATTCTTCCCCTGTATTTTCCATGCCTCTCATGTCCCCCATGGCAGTGTTTCTTCACCTTAGTCACTTCTAGGCCCCCCAGGAAAATGCAAATATTTATATTCACACCAGTTGATTGTTCAAGCTGCTAATGGTAAGAATGAAGGCCTGACTACCTTAAGGCCCGGTATCTTGGCTCCTTACAACCCACTTGAATAACATATTTCCACCTGGCTTTAAATTTTGAACCAGGAATCTTTTAGAAAATTCTGACAAGTAATCTGGAAAAGCAATAAGTATTATGGAAGCCAGCATAAGGAGATTTTATTCATGGCATTTCTGGAACTGCAGAGACAAAAAGGAGAAGCAATTGTGATTCCCAGACACAATTCATTTTCGTTAAATATACCTCGCAAAAAAAAAAGAGGAAAAAAAAGGAGAAAATCATATAATATGATGTAGATGTGGATTAATGCAAGTTCCAACGAAGGAGACCACAGAATGTAATTCAATACAAAAGGAAAAAGAAACTGCCTCTTCCAAAATAGGTACTTCATGTGTATTCATTGACTAAATAAATCAACTAATTCACCGGAGATATTAGAAAAGAGAAATTGGAAAGTTAAATTAAATTATCAGACAAGCCCTGGCTGGTCCAGCTCAGTTGATTGGAGCATCATCCCATAGCCAAAGGGTCACGGGTTCAATTGCCGGTAAGGTCACATACCTAGGTTGCAGGTTCAGCCCCGGGTCCTGGTGCTTACGGGAGGCAACTGATGGATGTTTCTCACATTGATGTTTCTTTCTCTCCCTCTTGTCTCTCTAAAAGCAATGAAAACAAAATGTCCTGGGGTGAGGATAAAAAAATAAGTAAATTATTGGACAAGTGTTTCAAGCGCTTAAGGAGAAGATAATTAAGAAAAAAATTCTACAAAAATAAATAACAAAAAAAGAATAAAAATTGAATTGAGGCAACACTAGAAAAAATATTTTTGTAGAAATGGAGAGAAAATGAGTAGCTTTAAAAGAAAACTAGAATTTCACATTTATTTCATGAAAAGTAAACTAAAATATGACTGAACCCATAAGAAAAATTTGGTGTCACACATGTACACATACCTTTCAGATTATGCTTTTCTAAAAGCCACCACAAAAATACAGTGGTTCATAAAGTAGTTTCTCAAAGTCCTCCAGTTAATAATTAATTTTTGTTTAATGGCAAGGATTCTAAAAATAGTCAAAATACATATTTTGAGATGTCTCTCAATAAATACATGCGTTTAGTATTTGTGGGTAGAAACAATCATTGGCTCTTTCTGAACTACCCCTCCAAGTCCCCTGGCAGTTCCAGTGCCCTGGGCTCCCTCACCCCTACAGCCATCTACCCTCAGGCAAGAGCCCCCAGGCCAGCAGCGGCTTCTGTAATCCCTCCCCAGCCTTGGCCCTTGAATCCGGGAAAGCTAGCCTGTCCTTGCCTACCTCCTGCCCCTGGGGAAGTCGTTTAGAGCCTGATTCTCACTCCAGGCCCCCCAGCCGTGGGCCTCGGGGTAAGGTCCATGGCTTCTCTGAGTTCTAGTTTCTTCGTGGAGCAATGGAGAATATCAACTCACCTCATGGCTTTTGGGGGAGGATTAATTCAAACAAAGCACTTAGAACAGGGACTGACACACAGCTCTAAATACTGCCTGTTTGACTTTTTGTTGGAAGTAGGAAGGTGGACAATGTTGGAAATAGGTAGATAGACATGGATTCAAATTCTAGCTCTGTCACTGGTTCTAACTGGTTGTGTGACCTTGGGCAAGTTTGCTGCACCATCCTCTCTAAAGTGGGGGTGGGACATGCTAACACAAGGTCCTTATTAAGTATGTTTCTTCCTCTTGCTAATATTTTTCAAATTGCTTTAGCCCCTGCCTGGCTGTGGGAATCTTGATATGTTTCTCCTGGCTCCTATCCATGAGGAGTAAGGATCCCACACAAACCCCCATAGTACATAGAGGGATCTTAGGTCTAATTTATATAAGGAAGTTTTCCTGACTTTGAGGATCTGATCATCTACCCTCTGACATTTGTCAGTCAAGCCCGTGGTCACAGCTCTGAGAGTTCAGGGGCCTTCTGGTTGGATCTCTACAGAAAGGGACACAGCAGATGAATTTTTGAGATTCATGTGTGTATTAGTTTACTAGAGCTACTGTAACAAATTCCCACAAACTGTGTGGCTTAAAACAGCAGGAGTTTGCTCTCCCACAGTTTAGGAGCAAAGAACTCTGAAAGCAAGGTGCTGGTTCCATCAGGAGGCTCGGAGGAAGCACCTGTCCCATGCCTCTCTTCCAGCTCCTGGTGGCTGCCTGCAATCCCGCTCCTTGCCTTGCAGCTGCCTCACTCTAATCTCTTGCCTCCCTTGTCACCTGGGCTTCCTCCTTATGTCTCCCTGTATGTATGTTCCCTTCTCTCTTCTTATAAGGACATTGGATGTAGGACCCGCCCCTACCAGCATAATTTCATTTTAACTTAATTACATCTGCAAAGACTTTCCAAATACAGTCACGTTTTTAGGGTCTAGGTGAACATAAATTTTGGGGGGAACACTATTCAACCTACTACACTATTATTACTTTTTTATAAACTGAAAAATCAGATGATAACTAACATGCATTTCAGAGGAAAAATACCTGTGATCTCTACAGATGAGGTACACTGTAGACCCAGTGACTCTCTGGGAGGGGACTATGCGTCAGCTGTACCAGAAGAGCCTTTCGAGTAAACACAAAATTGCCTCCGGGTGTGGGCCTTAGATCAGGCCCAGGCCTCTTCCTGCAGCTGGTAAACTGTGTTGAGCATGGAGGTTGAACTATGTTGGTCTGGGAGAGAGACCAAGTCTTTCCTCTGTTAGAAACTGTCCAGGGGCTCCTGCACCCCGGGCCCTTGGGGTAGGTGGATGGCTGGGCCTGCAAAGTCCTCTGTGAACTGGACCCTGCCCATTCCTCCTTCCCCGCTCTCTCTGGTAAAATAAACATAAAAGATATAACCTCCGTGATGAAACACCTGGCTTTTATAAGGTGATAAGGGGTTCCAAGGGCTGTTTCTCCTCCTCTTTGGTTAAGTTCTTGGCCTTTCTGGAGCTCTTGATTCTCAGAAGGCAGAGTTTAGCCTGACCAGGACTTTGTGAAGACCTGTATTCCTGGGCTGTCCTGGTCCCACGCTCTCCCTAGGAACCCTGGGAACTAATGTATGTACCACCAAAAAAGCATCTCTGCTTCCCAAGCAATTTCCCCTCAGATGAGAAGCTGGCTGGCCCAGGAGTGCAGCGTGAAGCTGGATGCTTTCCAGCGCGTGGAAGAGCTACAAAGTCAGCTTACTGACGCTGGGAGCTCCTCTGTCCAGATGAGCTCACCTGGAGGTAAGCAGACACCCTGCGCTGGCTAGAACCAGCTCCCAAGGCTCCAGGTCTGAATCGGAGCGCGGACTCGGGGGCTAGCCCTAACATCTCAGAGGTTATTGAGTGGGTGTGCTGTGATGTTTGTTGAACAAATGAATGATATGTGAATGAATAAAGTTAATTCTGATTTGCAGACAGAACTTCCTACTTTAGTTTTCCTTGGATTCCTGCCATCCTATACTAAATGGTTTCAGTCATAAAAACTGGTCCCAGGAGTATGTTATATACTACTTAAAGAGTGTTGGGTACTTCACTGGATTTTGAGCATCTCAGTGCCTTGGGATATTAATGACCATGTTTCTCAGATGCTATTCATAAAGTCCATTATGACTCTTGGCTGCTGGGAGCTTGAGGAGCTTTATGGAAATGACACGACCCTCTGGGCTGTACAGACCACAAGCAGCGTGGAGCCAACACCAGACCCCACAGCGCCTCTACACTAGCTTCCTCTCTTGTAAGATGAGGACTAAATAGTCAGGCTCTATTCTAGCTCTGACTATTGAAAATATCACTAAATATTAACAACCATGATTAGCCTATTGTTGAGATCAGCCAAACCTCTTCTTTTCTGTTCTGCAGTGTGGCCTTGTGATTGAGTGTGGCGGCTTTGGAGACAGCAGCCAAGGTTCAAATCCTGGTCCCAACACTTCTAGCTGTGTGACCTTAGACAAGTTAATTAGCCTCTCCATACAAAGGGAATAGTCACCTTAAAGTGACTTAAAGTCATTCTGGGTATTAAATGAAATAATGCATCTGACATATAGTATAGTCACACTAAGTGTGCAAATGCTGATTACTACACTCTCATACCTGTGTTGTATTTTGTTTCCTTTTGGCCACTTACCAGTATGAATGATGTGAGAAAAACACAGCCCTGCAGAAGAAGAAAGATCAGTTTCAAAGATCAAGATGACAAAGATCAAGTTACTTTGGGTTTACAGAGAGCAGCAGGGCTGGGCTTGTCCGGAAAGCCCAGGGGCCTCCTCCCTGCCTCTTCCTGTTGCCTGGGCCCTGACAGCAGGGCCGGCGTCTCTTGCCCCAGCCACCCAGTCCAAAGAGGAAGAACATCAAGAACACCCAAGGGCCGTGTTTTGGCCACTGACTCTGAGTGTAGCCAGTCTTATCCACATGCCCTGAGATTTTTCTGTCCCTTCCCTTCCCTGCTGTCTTCAGCCCAGCCAAGCATCTTTTTAATCCCTTTCTGGGTTAATGTGTGCTATGTAACTACCACCCACGCCCCTCAACACCTGCACAATTACGAAGGAGAACCACGTGGCAGGAGGAAGGTGGGAGCCCTAATCCCCAAGACTGAGGATGTGGCAGGAGTGAAAGAGAAGCCTCTTTCCAAGGAAGTAGAGGTAAAAGTCGCTCCACAGGCTCGGCCCCCACCTATCCTCCTCTGCAACAACAGGAGGAGGGTTTGCTGAGCATTCAGTAGAGGGGAGGGACTGGGTCGTACCTGTTTATTTAGTACCCAGTACTCCAAGGGGACAGGCAGATATCACCTACACTGTTGGTGCTACAGGGTAAAATCAGCGGGAAGTGTGAGGCCCCTCGCTCCTTCCTGCAGGGCAGGTGGCAGCAGCCTCCCTGCTCCCCACAGCAGAAGCATCTGAAGCCCAGGCAGAATGAAGGGGCGGGGGGGGAGGGGGGGGGGCGGGGGGCGGGCGGGGAGCTCCCCTTACTTGGCATTATCATGGATTCCCCTAGGATCTTACAGTTCCTGAGAAACTATCATTTGTTCTAGCACAGTTATCCTCAAAACACTTCAGGAGAAAAATGAAACCATTCAACTCACAAAACTGTGAGATGTTCAGGAGTGGACTGGCTTCAGTTAGTTCAGTGAAGCTTTGAACTGCTTCATGAGGCTGGTTCTCTCTTCACCTCTGGGCTCTGAGAACGCTGGGAGCAGAAAGGGAGTGGAGTCCCTTGGGCCACCACCTGCCACCTCGTAGCTTCCATCCTCTGTTCAAGTTTGTGGCAGGAGTGGGGTGTGGTGATAGGACAAAAAGAATCAGGCTCTGGCTGGGCTATGGGCCCAATTTTAAACAAATCACTTAAGAGAGAGACTAAGATGCCTGGTGGGCTTATACTCAGCTCACTCACTCCTCTTCACAGCAACTATTTGAAATATTTGTGGTGTCTTCAGGCCTTCAGATGCTGTCCATCTCCCTCATTTCACAGAGAAGTTAAAAACCATCAGGTGAAAACTTCCACTACTTCCCGTCCCCAGCCTGCCTATGTCGATACTGCTGCTTCTCCTTCCTCCAGTTAAAATGGAAACGGTGCCTTTTTCCTACCCCGGCCAATCCTGGTGCACAAGATTCCTTGTGCTCCTACCTTCTCAGGCACTGTGAACTAATCTTTACCTCCTTCCTGTCTACTCATCTACCCATTTTGCACACATCTATCCTCCTAATCTTGTAACCAGCAATTAGTTATTGAACACGTATGTGCCAGGATCATAAAATCCACTGTAAAATAAAATTAACATCTATCCCGTTGCCCGAGCCAGAAATCTGGGAGCTATTCTTCCTCACAGTGCAATTCCAGTTAATTACTAAGTCCTATTAATTTGAGTCTCTCTCGGTCTGTTCACTTCTACCCACAATGGTCCAAGTCCCCCATTATCTTCTTCCCTTTTTTGGTCATGTGACCCGTAGGCAAACGACTCTATCCAGGTTTTGACATTTTTGACTCAGAATTAAGGGAGCTGGATTACATGCCCATTTTAAGCTCTAAAATTTTATGAATTAAATCCAAGCCTGTATATTGTAACCAAAGATATAATTTAACATTTTTAACATTATAGGCCTAATATCCCAGGCTCTGTTTGCCCTAAGGTCTGTGTCTGCATCATCCAGATACTCCCAGCAGCACCTTTTAAAGACCAACCTAATGGGCAATAAAATAACAAAGATTCAAAGGCCAAAATCTGTAAGTAAGGATAAATTTGAATATATATATATATATGAAACATGAAAAATGTAGATAAGATATGGTTTTAGGGTCGCTTCAAATTTATGTTAAAAATTGTATTGCAGAATCTTATGTAGATACTTGGGTTTGGATAATAAAATTCTGGATTTCTCACAAAAGGAATTTGTCCATGAATTGCTGCTGGATCCATATTTGTGGTGGCAAAGAGGGTCCAGGGCTTCCTACTCCACCCTCTGGACTCAACGATAAAATTCTGATACTAAAACAAGCCCAAGGGTACCTACTCCATTATAGTTCAATAAATAAGTGTGGAAGTCGGTACCAACACTTGGTTATGTTCTGTCTCTGAATTTCTTTTTCTTTTTCTCTTTTTTCCATTCATCTACAATAATCAACCAGAAGCATCAGATTCCTTATCCAAGTTCTCTGACAGAGCAGAGTTTCAGAAATCTGCCCTCCAAAGAATTCCTTGGAATGCAGATTAGTTGGAGGCACAGCACATATTTGATGATTTTTAAAAAATATTTCAGCTCTTAGTTCATACGAAACATTTACATCCTCTTCCACCGCCTCCTCTGTGCTGTTTTAATAACACATTATACTCTTTGCTCCAAAGTCTCTCCGGATTCCCCCTGGAGATTTACATACCTAATCAACACACTTAAGAATTCCTCTTCTTGGTAATGCTAAGCGAAATACATCAGACAGGGAAAGACAAATGCCATATGATTTCACTTATATGTGGAATCTAAACAAAATAAATGAACAATCAAAACAAACTCATAGATCCAGAGAATGAGCTCATGGTTGCCAGGTGAGGGGGTTAGAGGGCTGAGTTAAAAATGTGACGGCGATTACAGAGCACAAATGGGCAGTTACAAAACAGCCCCAAGGATGTGAGGTGCAGCACAGGGAATATAGTCAATAGTATTGTAATAACTATGTGTGGTGCCAGGCGGGTACTCAACTTATCGGGGTGATCACCTCAGAAGGGATAGAAATGTCTGACCGCTGTACTGTAGGGCTGAAACTAATGTAATGTTGAATGTCAACTGTTATTGAAAAATAAAAGATAATAAAGAATTCCTTCTCTTACTTTGAGAAAACTTAAGAGAATAACATTTCATCATTCTGTCATAGAGAAAATGTGCCATTCTAAGGCCTCTCTCAAAGGTGTAATTCTGCAGCTGATGTCTAGTTATTGGACCAAAGGGAGGAAACAGGTTGGGAACATACCTAACTGAGACCTTTGACCAAGTAGGGCTGCATTACTAATCCCACCATTTGCTTGACTCCCCATACCCTGTGGAGTCATCTTTGACTAACTTGCGGAATTGTAGTGTATGTCTATTTGTTCATGAAAAAGCATTTTCCCAAAGGAAGCAATGTTCAGTTGGTGTGGATAGGACCACAAGGGCTTTTAAGATTCACTCCATCCCCATTTCACTGCTCAAAGTGGATGTGTCTACCATGGGGAGTCGACTGCACAGCTCATGGTTGGGAAGGCTGCAAAGTAGCTGGACGCATTAGTGGAGATCCTCTATGTGAGGGATTTAGAAGGGTGATGTGAAAGCTGATTGTGGGACATTACCCTACTAAATACATAAGTCCTAATAAGTAAGAAAGTGTCTTGTGGGCCCCTGGCATGGAGACAGTATAGAAACTCCACATGAAAAAACCTAAGGTCTAGGAAAGGCAAAAAATTAGTTGGAAACTCTTCAAATCTGTCTCAGGCCTGACTTCTTAAGCAAGGCCTATGAGACAAGTGAGACAAAGATAGACTGAAGAGGAATTTTTACAAGGCTGGAATATAAGAACAGTGATGATTTTCTAAAACAAAAATATAACACTGCACTATCACAAATGATAAAATATTAAGGAATTTTTAGATTACTCCTAATATGGGGTATCTTTTCTTCCTTAGCTGGAAATGGCTTTCCACTGATGAATTCATTCTGCACCAATTCTCCTTATGACAAGTAGCAAAACCTGTACAAGAAGGCCCACAAAATGGCCTAATGCAGATTGAAGAGTGATCTTGGTCTCATGAGTAAAAGTGACTTATAATGATGCTGTAACAAGAATTATTCATCATCTTCTTTAAAAGCTCAAATATCTACTTGATATTTACATTGCAGATACCTCCTAAACACAAAAAAAGGACTGCTGATGTCTTCCTACCCAGCGTGGCAGAAAATGCTCAACTTTCAGTTTTTCAAGTCCAAACAGCTGCATCCAGAATCCCATTTCGATCTGACTGGTAATAATAAATCCTTTCCCAACTTTTATTTCTATAAGGATTTAAATAAATAAAAGTGATTCTAAACTCCATGAAGCCCCTTATCTAATATTCACTATCAGTTCTGCGGAGATAGCGTGGAAGGACTGACATGATCATACCCTGAATGCCCCAGGCGACGTAGGAGTTGGTTCTGGATTTTAAAACGGACGAGTTGATTTGCATTTCTACCACCTAGGCCTTGCATCTGGTCAACCAGCAGACTCTCAACCTGGGTTCTAGAAATAATTACTCCATGAAATAGGTAGGAGAGAGGGCATTGACACTAAGCAGTATTTACTCACAAGTGGAAAACTGCAACTGAGATTAATCCAAATACACTTCAACGCACTCATTTCTATTCGTTTCACTTAAGAACATCATCCTCTCTTAAAAGACTTTTTATTCTTCCTACAAATACTAAAAACCCTCTTCAGACAAGATGTCTTTCGTAATGTCCTAATCCAAGTCTCTTTCTTCAGACAAGAAAATCTACCTTGGGTAACATTACTAACTAGATGAATGGAACAGGATAGACCAGAGAAACATTTACATACATAAATTTACATGATATATGTAGCTTTTCAAATTAAGAAGTTTGAGTCAATTTGAAGTAGATTAAGTCATCACCTTACACTATACACAACAAATTTTGAATGAAGATCTATATGTACATACACATGCACAGAGACATACATGCAAACTTAAAGCCAAGAGGAATATTATGACTTTAATATCAAAATAGAAATCCAACAGGACAAGGTATAGCTCCAGTTATCAACTTATTACCCCTTAGCTCCAAATTCATCCTTTATTGTCTGCTGTGAAATAATCAGTCTGGAGCCTGTAAATATTTCTTCTTTGCCAATGGGCAAGACGTGAAGCTTTGTCAGCAGACAGTGCTGGAAGGACCCCAGGGGAGGAGGAAGGCTTTCTGTCCCAGGTCCTGGGGTCTCCCCTCGGCAGGTTCCTGCAGTGCCTGCAGCTTCATAGTGGAGTGTCACCGGCATGGCGCTTCCTGTGAAGGACCTTCCAGCCAGCACCACTTTGGGTGTTTCACAGCCTCAGTGAACCTCTCTGCCATCCAGGGAGCCGGAAGGGGCATGCCCTCTCCAGTGAGGTCTGGCTCTCAGCCCTGTATTCTTTTGAACTCTCTTTATTGCCTACCAGCCAACCCTTCCATTACTTCAATCTCTTATCATTGATAATTCTTTTCTAAAAATGCTTAATTTTTAGAAAGAGCAGAAGGGAGGGAGGGAGAGAAACATTGCTGTGTGAAACTTTCATTGTTTGCCTCTTGCCACGCCCCCAGTCGGGGACCTGGACTGCAACCCCAGGCATGTGCTCTGACCAGGAATCAAACTGGTGACCTTTCGCTTTGCAGGATGACACCCAACCCACTGAGCCACACTGGTCAGGGCTGATTAATAATTTTTTATATTAAACTTTCCCTGTTTGATTACTGTGTGGTTTCTGTCTCTTACTTGGCCCATGACTGATAGAATACTGATACCAGTAGTGGGTTGGTCCTAGAGAACAGATTCACAAAGATGGGATTTGGGGATGTATTTGGTTGCACCCTTGGACTTGTACGTGGTGCTGAGCTCCCTGCAACAGGAAATGAATGCTAGTAACCCTTTGCATGCAATGACATGACAATGAAAGAAGCGATCACCTGTGGTCCATTGTGACAAAGCATCTGCTGAAGCGTGTACCTTGGGAGCCTAAGTTTCTACCACATTGACTCTTGTGGCAGTAATGATGACAATAAAGACCAGTGTGCAACATGGAGTTTTTTTGGATGTACTTTAGCACTTACAAAAGAAAATCACAAGCTCAGGTCCTTTCATTCTCAGCTCATACCATGGTCCAAGAACCAACGAGCTGCCTCAGAAAGTCTTTGTAAAATCTGTTTCCTATAGTCACAGGATAATTTTGCTAAAAATAAAAAACAAATTTTAATTGTGCAAAATGCTAAGTTACAAGACAGCTGAATTCATGGCCTCATTGTTTCTCACTGCTGAGATGGGCTCTCATTTCAATGTTGATGAAGCCATCCTGGGGTAGCAGAAGCCAACTGCCAAAGACAAGGTATGTGCATCTGTTATAAAGGTTGGCAGGGGCATATCAGTAGTCAGCTGTAGATCTGGCACACAGAGGTCTGTGGTGGCGGTGAATGTGTCCCCATCAGTGAATACACATACATAGCTGACTGAACTATTGCTTGATGTATATAAAAGGAAGAACGATGGTAGCCAAAACCTGACTTGAGCCAGCACAGCAGAGTCACAGCCTCGCACCCAGATTTCAGACCTGAGTCTGTTTACAGACCACAGTCTCTTGCCTGCAGGAGAGGCTGGAGGCCCTGGAGGAAGGACCCTACACCACCGCTGCAGGTACATACCATAAAACTCCCTCCAAACTTTTCCCTAAGGGATCTGTAATCACTTGCTAGAGTGATTTTTTCATCAAAGAAAAAGAAATATCCAGACCATTTGGTGATTACCAGGCACCACCTCTAAATCAATTCTAATCCTGGGGATCCAAAACACCATTGTGGCTCACCAGCCAAAATGAAGGTGCACAGCAAGGTGATAGGAGTCTCAGCTCAGGTCTGAATTACAGCGGACTCAGCTGATCCACGGACCCCATAGTTATTTCCTCAGTTCCTGAAGGTACAATGCAAATAAACATAATTAGCAACTGAAAGGATTCCTACACTGGTTCTCTGACCCTGGAGTTAAAGACTCATTATTGTAGGAATAACTGGAAGCCCCAGGAACCTTCCCTTCTCTCATGTAAACTAGAAGCCAACATTGCATCCCTGGAAAAACTGTGGGGATTAATGTCAGACAATGACTTGAAGGAAGCAAGAGTGGTGGGACCAATCGCATCACCTCTTAACATAGTACTTAGGCCTGTGCAGAAAAATAGGTGGCTCTGGAAAATGACTGGGGCCTACCGGGTCCACACCTTAACCACGTAGTGACTCCAATTGCAGCTGCTTTCCCAGATGTAGCCTCTTTACTGGGGCAAAGGAGTATGACTCTGGCCCGTGTTATGCAAATATGCCTTTTGCTCTGTATCACATTACAAGGACCACAAGTAGTTTGCTTTTACCTGACAAAGTCACCATGTACCTTCAAATTCTTGCCTCAAGGCTTTGTCAGTTCTGCTCCCTGCCGTGATTTAATTCATAGAGAGCATTAAATATCATATTGGCCTACTACATCAATAACATTTTGATTGGATATCATGAGCAGAAAGTTGTGAGTACTCAGGTGCTTTAGTAAGACATGTAAGAAGTAGAGGGTGAAAAATAAACCCTACATCTCACACTATGTACCATGAAAAAAAAAAAAGCATGATGCTCAGTAGGACTTTTCAGATTTTGAGGGCAACAAATACCATTTTTAAGTGTGCTACTTCACCTCTCCCCACAAGACAGCCATCCATAAGGTTATCAGTTTTTGTAGGGACCAGAGTAAGAGAAGACTCCATTGTGATTTTGAGTTTTAATAGAAGCTGCTTTGCCATGTAGTTCCTATGATCCAGCAGAGCCAAAAGTCCTAAAAATGCTGTGGCATATAGGAACGCAGTACAGAGCCTCTGTCAAGCACCAGTAGAATGACAGGAAGACTCCTAAGATTCTGAACAAATCTATGCCCTCTTCTGAAGTTAAATAGCCTCCTTTTGTGCCTTGGTAGAGACTGAACACCTAACCATGGGATAGTAGGTGATCGTGTAGCCTGAGCTTCCCATCATAATGCGGGTGTCATAGGACCCACCTAACCATAAACCTGGGCATGCATAGCAGCAATCTATCATCCGTGGAAATGGTACACAATCAGCTTAGTGTGCTGGGCAGTTCTAAGAGGTACAAGTAGCTTCCACTGAACACATGGCTCAACTCTTTCAACACCAGTTCCTGTTGTCTCCTCTCCCTGGACTGGGGTGTTTCTAACAATTAGCTGGCCAAGAAAGAAAAAAGTCAAGCCTGATATATGACTGTATGTCCCATCCCAGCAACCTCAAGCAGTGCTGGTTTAGAGGTCTTAGTTCCTAAGGGATTCTTCAACCAGGGGCAATAGCCATGGGTCTACTGATATAAGATAAGGCTGCTGCTTAGCTCTCTTAATTCTTATGCCACTAAACTAATAGGCAGCAAAAGGTGTTATTCTATTGGCTGGAATTGTCTATCCTGACTACCAAGGGGGAGACTGTATTACTGATACACAATGGAGGCAACGACTGTGTCTGCAACATGGGGTCCTCAAGTTCTTCCATACCCAGTAATAAAGGTTAATGAGAAACATCAACCAAAATGGGTAGGATAATTGGCAGACTTAGACTCTTTGGTAATAAGTATTTGGGTCACTTCATTAGGTAAAGAACCCTGACCAGTTGAGGTTCTGACCAATGGCAAAGTAATTATTGAATAAATAGTGATTGGTCATAAATTTACAGAAACAAGTGCTTTGAGCCTTGAATCTGCCAGTTGTTTCCTGCTCCACCCATTATTATAGTGAAAATGGAGCCGGAATGTAAGAATACTTCCATGCTAGGTGGCATGATGTTTTGTCAGCAGAGGGTATTGGAGGGACTCATTTTTCCGGTTCTGGGCAAATTACCACAGTGCCCTGCTCTAGCAGTGCACATGGCTGAGCAGTGGGGCATCATTGGTGTGGTCCCTCCTATGCACTGTACATCCTGCACCCCTTGGGAGACTTCACCGATTGCATTGGTGTAACTTCCCCATGGATAACCCTCCCTGGCACCACCTCAGATGGATCTGCAGCTACCACAAACTTCATCCAGAGAGGCAAGGTTGTAATCTGTGTAATGATTTCTGGAATTCAGCCTGAGAGAGAACAAAGAGTGGCCACTTCTTGTATTTGCTATGCCTGCACTCTGGAGTTTTCTTACTGCTTTGCAGTTTTTTTATGCCTTAAATTAGATACTATGCCCGGTCACTCCAATCCAATCTTATAGTTAACAATTTAATGTCAAACTTTTCCTGTTCATATTTTGTGGCATCTGTCTCCTGACTGTACTCTTGTTAATACACTGTAATCAAAAACAAAGACTTAAAAGAAAATATTGATTGGAAAAAACCCATGGATTAGCATTCAGGATATTTTAAGATTTAAAAAAACAAAACAAAACCCTGCAAATTGTTAAGACAATAGAAAAGGACAATTCAGAGGAAATACAAATTAATGATAGTACCAAAGTAAAACTTTTACTCACCAGAGTATTAAAATTTAACTTGTCAGTATCAGGTGGTTTAGGACATAGAAAACACTGATACCCTGGCTGGTGGGAACTGAAAGGCAATCTGTCTGTTAAAATCTTCAAAGTGGAAACCCTATGACATAGCTTTCCAATTCTGCGTTTACTCTAGAGAAATATTCACACATGAACGAAGTGGCAAGTACAGACATTCTTTGCAAAATTGTTAGTAAAAACTAAAAATTGCAAACAACCTAACCATCCTTCAATAGGTACTTAGGATATTCGTACGTGTACCAATGTAGTATTTAAGAATTTGATATAGCAACATAAGTAACTTGGAAATATCTCCAATTGAAAAAAAGTTGTAGGATAGTGCTAAAATAAAAATCTGTATTATGTATTTTCTAGGAGTACATACTATGTGTATATCAATTGTTGGAGTGAGGGAAACTGAAAACTGGAGGGCAAGCAAGGAAGGGGAAGGGACTGGGAACGATCAAAGAAGACTTATACCCACCTCTAATAGTTTAAAAGAAAAAAATTGATATATTCATGTATTAAACAAAAATTAGTAAGACTTTAAAATCTCAATCTTGAACTTTTTCTTCTGGCCAAGATTAAATGAGCCTACTGGACTTCCTGAGTTGAGAATATGGAGATGAAATTAGAGAGAGATGAAGGTAGCTGGAGTTCCCAGGAGCAGAAGACTAGGGAGGAGAGAGTGACAGGAAGAGAAATTCCAGAGGTCTGCACAAGGTACCTCTCCAGTATTCAGCAATGTATCGGTCAGCACATGCGCCTGAGGAAAACTACCCAACTCTGGGGAAAGGGTTATAGGAAACAGCACCGGGAGCCCCACACAAGGCTAGGAACAGAGCCTGCTCCCATCAGCTCAGACTAGAAAGCTTCATAATCCAGGGCGGCACTGGCTACTCAAAATGGTCTTGTCTCAGAACCAGACAATTAAGTCCTAGAACAAATGGCTGTGCTGCTCTCAACAACCAGTGTAAAAGCAAGACCTGATAGGATCAAACTGTTTTCAAGTAACTTAAGTCCAGGACAAAAATAACCAGCGCCTTGAGGACTTCCTGCCAAGATGGAGGCCTAGGTAGATACACTTTGCCTTCTCGTACAACCAAAAGAACAAATTAAAAAACAAAACAAAACCAGAACTGCCAGAAAATCAAACCGTATGGAAGTCTGACAACTAAGGAGCTAAGAAGGAAACATTCATCCAGACCGGTAGGAGGGGTGGAGACAGGCCGCTAGGACAGAGAGAACACACAGCAAGGTGGTGGCTGGTGGTCCGGGTGATCTCACATTTGTGTGATTAAACTGTGAGGAACAGCTGGGAAGCGAGAGACTGCACAATCCAGGCTTCCAGTGCGGGAAAAGAAAGCCTCAAATCCTCTAGCTGTAAAAATCTGTGGAGGTTGCAGGGTGGGAGAAACCTCACAGGAAAGTCCATTGGAGAGACCCACAGGGTCCTAAAACGTACACAAACCCACCCACCTGAGAATCAGCACCAGAAGGGCCGAATTTGCTTGTGGGTAGCGGGGTGACTGAAAGCTGGCAGAAAGGCAAGCAAGCAGCAGGTTGTTCCCTCTCAAACCACTCCCCCACATATAGCTTTACAATGCAGCTACCTGGGTTCCCCCACCCTGGCGCATGAATACCTAAGGCTCCACCCCTCCCAATGTCACAGGCCACTGAGAAAAAGAAGTATGACCCAAATGAAAGAACAGATTATAGCTCCAAAAATAAAATGAAGCAATAAACATAGCCTGCACAGTTCAAAACACTGGTAATCTGGATGCTCACTAACGTGGTTGAGTATGGTTGCAAAACAAGAGTTGTAGAAGAGAAGGCTATGCAAAGTGAAACAAAGAAAAATATACAGGGAACCAACAGTAAAGGGAAGGAAACCAGGACTCAAACCAATGATTGGGAGAAGGGAGAGATAAACATTCAAGCAGAATGGAATGAAGAAAACAAGAATTCAAAAAACGAGACGCTTAACCTCTGGGACAACTTTCAGCGTTCCAAGATCCAAATCATAGGGGTGCCAGAAGAAGAGGAAGAGCAAGAAATTGAAAACTTATTTTAATAATGGAGAACTTCCCCCACCTGGCCAAGGAAATAGACTTCCAGGAGATCCAGGAAGCTGAGGGTCCCAAAGTTGGACCCAAGAAAGCACACACCAAGGCACATCACAATTACATTACCCAAGATTAAAGATAAGGAGAGAATCTTAAAAGCAGCAAGAGAAAAGGAGAGTTACCTACAAAGGAGTTCCTGTAAGACTATAAGCTGATTTCTCAAAAGAAACTTTGCAGGCAAGAAGGGGCTGGAAAATAGCAAAGTTAATAAAGACAGAGACCTATATCCAAGATAACTATCCAGCAAAGTTATCATTTAGAATGAAAGGGCAGATAAAGTGCTTCCCATACAGGGTAAAGGTAAAGGAGTTCATCATCATCAAGCCCTTATTGTGTGAAACGTTAAAGGGACTTACCTAAGAAAAAGATGATCATAAACTATGAACAGTAAAATGACAAACAACTATCAACAACTCAATCTAAGAAATAACTAAGCAAACTAGAACAGGAACAGAATCACAGAAACAGAGATGAGAGGGGAGGGAGAAGGGGGAGAATGGGGTGAAGGTACAGGGAATAAGCAGCATAAATCATAGGTACAAAATAGGCAGGAGGTTAAGAATAGTGTAGGAAATGGAGAAGCCAAAGAACTGGAATGTACGACCCACTGACATGAACTAGCGGGGGGGGGAGATGCTGAACGTTGTTGGGACGGTGGGTGCAGGGCAAAGGGGAACAAAGGGGAGCAAAAAAATGGGACAAGTGTAATAGCATAATCAAAATATGTATTAACAAAATGTCATAATCAGAAAGCAAAACACTTCAGTTAATAAAAAAAGAACAGATTAATTCAATAAACATGTAGATTTATTTTAAATCAGTTTTGTACATGATACAGATTGGTTTTGCAGTTTTTAATAAACTAAAATAGAAATTCTTAACACAGCAGTGTCTGCCTGTACAACAAATATTTTAAGGTAAAATAAGCTATTTTGATAGAATTACATTTGCATGAAATAATCAGATGAAAAATCTGAAAAGGTTTCTATATACCTTCTGGATTAAAAAAACCCAAAAATTATTAATGGCTCCAGATACTAAATTGCTAAAGGAAGAAGGGGAAAAGGCTGTGAGTTCTGTTTTAAGAGCTCTTCTTGTAAAATCTAATTTTGTATTATATGATTTTGTTGTTAGAGAAGTACTCAGAATTACAGGAGAGGCTTCATCAGCTACATTTTCACAGAAATTGCTATGTGTTGACATTAATGTGTGACAAGGTATTCATAGCTAGGTAAATAACAATTATACCACTGTAGCCTATTTTTGCCACTTTGGAAGGAATGGAAATTCTGCATACTTTCAAATAAATCTTGTATCTTATAGCGCTCACTAAAAACTAACAGCCATGGCACCATAATAAAATTTTTTTGTGAGGTACCTAGAATATTACTACTAATGACAACACAAAAATGTGAGGTAAACCTACCTTTTCCCAAAAACTTTTGAAGCCAGAGATTTTAAACAATTAAGGCACTTGAAAACATTAGGTGTATGTACAAATGTGCAATTAAAACAAACTTTAACTGTACCAGCAAGTAACTAAGAAACAAGTAAATCTTCCTTTTAAGGACCTTTAATATAACTGTCTAAATGTAAGGAATTTTGGCTTATGAAATGGACCTACACAACTTGTCATTCCTACTATAAAATATTGAAAAATCAAGGGCTAAACCTAGCCCCTACAGGCTGAAGAAACAAAAAACAAAAACAAAAAAAATTTAATGACCTAGAAAAACAAAAGCTCGCTTTAAACTAATTTAAGCCTCTGAACTAATCCAATGTGTCAAAGGCAGGGAAGGAAAAGTATCCCTCTAAAACCAAAAAACGTAGTGCTTCCTAAGAAAATAAATAAAAGTATGCATGCATGCTTACTATGAGAACTGAAACTAAGAAGGATGGAAGAGAAGGAAAAAAGAGAAAGCATAATCTGTTTATCCAGGGCGACCATTAAAAACCTACAGTAATGTGACCAACCAAAAATCCTTAGATTTTTCTGAAATTATCACTGGCCATATTTGCTGTCTCAAAAACTGAAATGATTGTCTCATTTAAACAGTTAGTAAATGATTCTAAAACAACTGATTGTTTCCTTCTTGCCTCATGAAAGAAGTTACTTTCCAAGACAGCTTGGTAAAAATCCTCGCGTTAGGAAACTTATTGAAGTACAAAGGAAAATATAATTAAACCAATTTTAATCTCTATTATATTTTTAACAGCTGTAAGAAGTATGTTGGGAAGTTTAATATATGAACACTTCCAGCTTTGTGTAACATTCTTTAGTTTAAGTTACTCAGTTATGAAGTAAAGTAGGTAAGTCTTCAATTAAGTACTAACAGTATGATGTCTATAAGCAGATTTACTACTGCTCACATCCTTTTACCTTCCTTAATGGGAAACAACAAATCACAAACATTTTATGTTACAGTCTACCTTTTAATCTGTCTTTTAAGGCACTGTTCTTTATTTTTTCAGTGATATAAGGTGCTTTACAAGTACTAACAATAACTTGCTACACTTTTAATGGTTTGTATCCTTTCCATTCATTTCTTTAAATCTGGAATGTAATTCCCTGGGTGGCATTTTATTTCCAAAGCAGAAAAAATGACTGTTCTCAAGCACAAAATTTTACTCTAAGAATACAGTTTACTTCATGGGTATTAAACATATACTTATCCCATTTTTAAAATGATTGCCAAAAATCGACCTGATTAATTGCTCATTTGGCACATTCTTCTGAATTCTGGTCACTAAACTACATCCTGAGTTAGGATGAAAATAATGCAGCTTTCAGGCTTTAAAATGACTAAATTTAACTACCAAAAGAGTCATGAGGTTGTCTGTGCAGGACAATGTTTTCCATCACTTACAGAGTTACATTTGGCGTGTCAAGAAGAGAACATAATCCCACAGCAGCAGCCATTAAAAACATAAGACGACAGCCACAAGGATTCATGCAGAATGTTTTAAATATTCCTGTTGAACAAAACGATTTAACTGATTTTTTTCTTCAAACACGATGCTCAAAAATATCTTATATGAGTCCTTTGAACATTTAAAGATCCTGGAATAGCGTCTTCCATGTGGGACATCCTGACAGATAATATTTTGGTTTCACTGAGTTACACAACAGTCCTTGTTAATCTAATGGGTCTGTTTACAGAGTGTGGTAGTTTCGTTCTTTCGATTTGCAGAATTTATAGAGAAAGAAAATTAGAGCCTGCACACCCAAGACAAGAACAATTCCTCCAATGAAACTGGCTGCATCAAAGGTAGACTTTCGCGTAGGCTGTAAAGTTGGAGTTAAAGTGGTATTAGTTGAACCTGTTAAATAAGATAGAAGAAACAACAGTAAGTCTCATGAACCTCTATCACGATTTCAAGACGCACCTAAGTTTCTATTTTGCCATATGTTAAATTCTATAAAGTATTTTCTCTTTGGTCAAGCCTTTACAACTAAAATCTTTATCTGCTTGAAGATGACAAATCATTTATCAAGCCCATTCTTCATTCTGTCTGGTGATATCAAGTGATTACTGTAGCTATGCAACTATAAATATGAAAATGACAGAAAAAGACTTGCTTGGTATATAAATTATGCCCAGGGAGCATATGAAGCACTTTTTAAAATTTGCAATTTCTTCAGACTATACCTCATTGCTAATGGTAAATATTACCATTTGTGTTAATTTATACAACTTTTGAATTTTACTAAATACATAAATTTTAAAATTTGGCTGCAATTTTTCAAATTACAAAAACAATCTTAAGTATCTGCCCTTTATAACCCCAATAAGCAAAAGAACTTAATAAAATTCTCTTCAATCTTACTCTGCAGATGTTACATATGAGAAAGTTATTACCAAATCGTAGGGGGGAAAAAAGGCACAAAAACTTGAATTCCTTCTTAGGGAGTAAAACGATTTAAGTGAAGCACGACTCACTTTTTAATAAAAAGCAATTTCATATTTCATATTTAAATGTGTATTTTTCTTAAATAGAGTATCAAATAAACACTGTTTCTGGTGGCTGTATATAAGTAGGCCAGCTTTAAAATTAATTACAACTGTTCAGTATTTCTTCTTGTGAAGACAGAATGGCTTCATTCAAACTGAAATAAAGGTAGCATAAGAATGAAGCCAAAGACTAAAAAAAATTATAAAAGACTCATCAGAAACAACGGTTATTTTAAATATGGATAGAAAGAGGCATTAATTAAAAAGTTAATTTTCACATGTACTTTCAAGAGTTATTACAAAGGAATTTGAGAAATGGTAAGAAATATGGCCAAGGTGCACTTAATGGAGATACTGGCTTTTAGATATTTCTCAGTAAAACAGATGCTTTAGTACCTTCATTAAAATCACTATGGTCTAATACAGCACATAAGCAATTCTTAACAGTAATCAGTATTTAATTTTTAAGTTACAAGAAATCAGATTTCACCTACAAGCTGTACTAAAATGGTTTTGGAAAAACTTTAATTCTAACATGTCATGCTAAATGTGATTACACATCAAAAACACAGAAATGGACTCTCAGCAAACCTATTATTGTTGCTTTATCAGCCTGTGCTGCTCTTCTAAATACATGTAAGAGATTTATTTCAGTTCATAACCATTCATGAATAAAACTGGAAAATGATGGCAGAACATTAAAAAGCAGTGACAGTGGATACATTCTGCTTCACTGTTAGTTGAGACACACTCAATTACCTGGTACAGTAGCTGTAGAGGTGGAAGGCACAGTTGTGGTTTTAGCTGGAATGTAAATAAAATGTATTAAAAATTTAAATCTCTGAAGGTCGCTGTTACCTAGCATCTACCTTTTAAAAATAATGCCATCAACTTCCACATGCTTTCAATTTTTTAAATAAAGGCCCAATTTCAGTTAATGGTTCACTAATTTATCTACATATCCAGAATACTAGCTTTTAAATATATTTTAAAACATTAAGCAATCATAAATTTTATCTTTCATAGTGTCTATGTGTATGATCTATGTATACATCCGGATAAAGTTTGCAAAAAGACATATGAAAGGGTAAGAATCAGTGTTTATGTGAGGGAACTATAGGTTCTTTATAAATTCATACTGCTTCTAAAAAAAAAAACTATTAAAAAAATCAAGGTAAGAAACAAGTGCAACTTAGTATTTCTTATGTGTGTTTATCAAGATCTCCTTATTTTCTTCATTTCAGAGAGCTGGCAAACTTTTCTTAAAGTGGCAGAAAGTGTTTTAGGCTTTGTGCACCATGTAGTGCAAAAGCAGCCCAAGACAACATGCAAATCAATGAGCATGGTTGTTTCAATAAAACTTTATTTATAAGAACAGATGCCCTGAGGCCACAGTTCCCCCAATATAGAAGAGCCCAGGGAAAGTTCTAGTCTACCACTCATAAAGAAACGTACAGGTAACTGGACTGAATGTAACATTTCTAGGAACTAAAGCACTATATTATGGACTTCCGTTAGTACTGATACTATTGTTGGATAGTAACACCTATGTTAATACTGACAGATATTTTTATATTTGTGTTTTTTTTTCTCACCACTGTACACATTTTACCTATCCTGCTCTTGGTTGGACAGTTATGTCACCTCTCATTTCTCCATGCTATGATATTACAGGAAATTATTTGATCTCATCTCTGGTAAGACTGATTCCTTCCTACACAGAATTCCCAGATTAGAGGGTGTGATTATTTTAGGACTTAGAATCCCTTCGAAAGTCTTTTATTGCTTATATAATTCTCTATTAACTTCAAAAAATATACTTTACAAATTAAACATACCAAGTTATTTTTCTACCTTCAAACACTATTACTAATTTTGTCTGAACACTTACACACTTTTACTTTTGACCAAAGTATTACATAAACAAAACTTTCAAAATTATGCACTATTTAGGGAATATACCTCCACTGACCTACTACTGTATGGTTCTTTCCTTTAAAAGAAAAAATTCACTGGTTATAAAAGCTGCTACAGGTGATAGGAATTTTAGAAAATACAGTAAAGACATTTAAATAATCCCACTGCTCTGAGTAGTATGTTTTTTCTGCCAGTCATTTTTCTAAGCATGCATGTGTGTAAAAGAAGAAAAAAAAAATTGTACTAGAACTACTTAGGTTTGTCTTTCACTTAATGCACGAACATTTTCCATACGTGACATAGTTCAGTCATTTTATAAGATGTTACTTATACATATTAATGTTTATAGTATTATTTGTATCAGAAGACTTATTACAATTAAGCCCACTGAACACCTTTCTACATAAATCAGATTCTCTTTGCATGAGCAGTCCCTTAATTCCCCACTTGCTCTCTGTAGCTGTAACCATGGAAAGAGACCATGTAAAGGTTTTTCAACTATTAATCACCACTCATTGGATGTATTTTCTGCAAGCACGCATCAAGACTCATGGGAAGAAACTGAAAGTGGATCCCAATGATTTTGGGGTCATCGTTTTCTCTTCTCCCCCTTTCTGTTCACATCCACTTTCTGGAAGTTAGTTTTCTTTCAACATCTCTGATTTCATCAACTTTTAATACCTTCCTAGTTAATGATTTATAATGGGTGCTAAAGGTTTAAGAGTCTATCATTATGTGCCCTCCAAAATAAAGTTTCATAACATTTGCAGATTTTCAGGGCGTATTTCCACTGTAGCCGTAATTTAAACTACCAACATAGTATCACTGAATGCACAACTGCAAAGTGCTGTGTATAACTAGCTAGCAAAACCTGATAAAAGCTAGTTCACCGCTGCCTAAATCTGTCAAAATATGTTCTTGTCCTTGTTATAGCACTTAACCACGTTTTCCTCTGGAAAACTACACCTAAATAACACAAGTTCCTCAGACACACTTCTCTGGGCTTTCTTCTCTTCAGAGCCCCACTTATTTTCCTCTCCAGTCCTCTTCCCACACCTTAGACATTATTATCCCCAAGAGTTTGGTCCTCAAACCCTATTCGCCTCCCTAAAAACTGCTCCAGTGAATTTCACTACTGCCTACACTAACTTCTACATACTTTTCACTAAGAGCTCTCCCATCCTAAGTCCTCTATGCCTTCCATTTCCTAAGCCTATTTGCATATACCTGCAACCCTTTTCCCTATTAGTTCTCTAGAATTACTGCAATAGGTTATCTCAATTCCTTGTATTCCATCTTGTCTTCTTTCAGTCTCCTCTCTGCGTTGCCAGAATAAATAATTTTATTAAAACCCAAGTCTCATCACATGGCCTATGTTGTTTCAAAGCTACCAGCATGGCATACAGTGCATTTTCCAATCAGGCTCTTATTATCCAGCTTGACTCTTCCTCAACTTTGTACTGGATACTCCAAGTGCAATTCCCTGACCTCATTATACTTTCTTATCTCCTTCACCTATGCTGACCACCCTGGTCTGCTTGGGGAATTCTCATTTTCTCTTACCAGGGTAATTTCAAGACTTGGTAAGCCAGCATCTTCAGGAAACTGTTACCACATATGCCATGCTACTCAATACACAGACATTCCTACAAATCCCCTCACACACTGTGTTTACCTTTCACAGTTCCTACAATAAACAAATTACTATTTTACCAAAAGCACAATATGCAAAGCGCACACAACCATGCTTGCAGTAAAAGGGAAACAATTCAGATGTGCAGGTACATATTATCCGATTTCATACTAAATTTACTTATTTAGATATGCACATAGAAAAGACTAGAAGAACTCAAATTACTTAAAACATGTTGGTGTACTTCTGGATGATGTGAATTATAGGGAACTTTAATTTAGGTTTTTATAGTCACGAAGATTTTCACAAAGTCCACAAAAAGCCATTTGCGGACTCAATGTACAAAGCTACGGGAAATCTGCTCGGCTTCAGTGAACGTGAAACACCGAAGTTGTGTGTCATTGTCACAGACAGTGCATGTTTATATAATGAGTGTGGTGGTCCAACAGTAAGTATGTCTACTAATTTTTAACATTATACTAACAACTTTTGGTATGTACTAAAATATTAACCATCAAAAGAGCTGAAAAATCTTGAAAAGAAGGAAGAGAAAAAACAGTTAATTATCTTATATTACCTGTAGAATTCGTTGGCAACGGAGCAACAGTGGGCGCTATTTAAAAAACAAACATGTAAGTCAAAGGTGTCTATCGCAATCTATAACACTATTTTGTAACCTGCAGTCATCGGAATACCACTTTACAATTTCTACATTTTCGTACCACCTATCTGTGTAGGAGACCGACAGTTTCTCTCAGCCAATATTACACCCCCTTCTTTAGGAATAGGAGCACCAATTTTTAGTTACACTTCCCAGAAGCATGCATAGAGTAGATATTGGCCTCTTTTTTTAAAAATGCTTTTACTGACTGATTTGAGAGACAGACAGAGAAAGAAAGGCGGTGGGGAGAGATAAACATCAATTTGTCGCTCCACTTATTTAAGCATTCACGGGTTGATTCCTGTATGTACTTTGATAGGGAATCCAACCTGCAATCTTGGTATATTGGAATGATGCTCTAACCAACTGAGCTACCCAGCCTGGGCTGATACGAGCCTCTCTTTCCTTTCCCCTTTCTGATGGCAGGAAAACCAATTACATGGCTGAAACATGAGAACTCATCTTGGAGAATAAGGTCAAAGCCCATTTTTGAGGAACAACAGTAAAAACCTAGGAGGTGACTGGGTCCCTAAAAGTTGTAGACTTGCTACTGTAGCCCGTTAGCTGTTCTTGAGCCCAGACTTCCTTTACAGGACAGCAAAGTGAATTTATTTCTCAAACCATTATAATTTGATACATTATCAAATAAGCAAAATTATTTGTTCAGTTTTTCCTTACTGTCTCTTAAAATGTTTTACTTAAATCTTGTTTCTCGGCAATATTATCATGAAATCAAAAGTCTGACAGTTACAGGTTTTTCTAACAAACATTAAAATAACTATTAAAATGTTTGTTCATCTACCACCTAAATGTTATTACATTCTACATAGAGTGTAACCGATCTCATACTAACGAAATTCTAAGTTACAAAGTTCAAGTTGGGATGGGGGAGTTGGGAAAACTCGTACCAAACAAAATTAGTTAAAGGTAGGCTTTGAAGGTTATTGACAGTCTCCAAGAAAAACCTTTTGCTCAATTATTAGCTATGCACCAAATCAGGAGTTTGACTTTCCTATTAATTTATAGTCTTATTAGAAAAATTCACTGTTTCAGTTAGGTATTTTAACTATTTCCTGAGCAAAGAGTAAAGGTTGAAGAGTGATTGAGTTCCTCAAATTAAAGTACAGAAAATGGATGAATAAATGGATAAATAATGCTTAAATTTATTTAACCATAGCACAAACTATCTGGATACTATGACATTCACCAGTATCATAACCAAGAAATTACCAGAACAAGGCTGGCCAGGCCTGTAAAATACAAATAAAGAGAGGCTCTAAATTGCAATGAGTTTCTAGAAAAGTGAAAGAACAATAAGATAGGAGGAATCTGTATTTACAGCATTCCACAGCATAACCAAATCACTAAACCAACCTTCAAAACAATATCCTTTTAGCAATCAATATAAATGCTATTCATGTTGAAATTTCTAACAAGATTAGAACTACGGAAATGCTTCAAACAAAATACTGAAATAAAGCTTCCTGAAGCAATGATCTTCCTTACCTCTCTGTGACCACTTTCCCCAGTAGTCAATGAAAATACTTACCAAAACAGAAATCTGTACTGTTTACCACCTTGCAATCACTAACTGTTGAATTATGTGAACAGTAGCTTTTACCTGTTAAGAAAAAAAAAAACCAAGATAAATAGCATCACTCACTCACTCAGTACCTTTTTTGACTTTATTACTCAGCTCCAGAATAGCTTCCAATAATCAAACTAACTCAGGCATAAACACTATAGAAGTCCATTCACACACCAACAAAATACTGTTATTCTTTCCCCCCTTATTTTAACAATATTATAATAGCATCTCTCCAATATTATCCTTTTAAAATCCACATGAACACACGGAACACATAAACCAGAAACACTTAGATCTTTGAACTGTGGTACGACTGCTGTACAAGGAGGGCTGCTAGAATGCATGAGTGCTGAGTCAGCAGAGAGAAGCGGTCAGGATTGAAAAAGGCGTGGTGAAAAGGGGAGGTGCCGCCTAGGCAGCAGCAAGTCCTCTGTTCCGCATCTCTGTGTCTTCTACACTTTCTAAAACCAGTTCCTGGATCTAAGACTTATAGCAAGAGTAAGGGAGTGCTTTCCACAACAAATCCCACAGAAGGGTATTCAAGCTCCAAGACTTGCTAACTCTGCCATACATATGAGGGAGGGTTGCACTTTTAAATTCCATTTTATGACTTTAAAAAAAAAAAAAAAAAGCAACTCTTCTACAAGAGTAAACTTAACCCCAAATTAGGCTAATATCTCAATTTAAAAAAGGATTTTAAACTTTGTTACATACTGATATAATACTCAGAATTTTCAATGAAGAGTAAAGAAGCTTAACATATAGCTTTGGCTCTTTATGTTAAAAAAAACTGCTACATTGATAAGAAAAAAAAATACAATCACCTTACATTTAGAAAACAGTAATTTATGCTGTACTTCCATGGTTCTAACAAAAACCCAACTGGCATCTCAAAGTATCTCTATCTAATTCTTTATTCTTTGAATTAAAGCTAACTTTAAAACTTAGCAAAAGTATAGCAGAGAATCAACTCTCTTCCCACCTCATCCTTTTCCTCTATCTTAAGTTTCGTAAGGTCTCTATAGTTCATCTAGCTGGACACATTGAGAATAAACGCCCCAAACATTTTTTGGGGGAAGTTTCCAGGGGAAAAGTTCACTACTTCCTTTCACAGCTATCTTCAGTGTATTCTACAAAGAGCTATAATCTTTTTTCCTTTAAAACTACTAAGACGTAATTATCAAGTCTAAATAATTAAAGGGGTCAAGGGGAATGGGAGGCAAGAAGAGATTTTAGGGGAAAGTGTTCACTAATTGATACTGTAAAGGAAAAGTACTGGACTTGCAAAAAAAAAAAAAAAAGGGCACACTATTGTAAATGTTCTATGTAATTTTCAAGTGTTCAATAACTTGTAGCATTTTCTTAAGAGTATTTTAACAGTTTTGCATTCTCAAAATTAAAACAGCCTCAAAGTTTCTTACCTTTACATTCCATCCAAAAGCAGGTAGTATTAGCAATAATATTGCTAGCATTAACACAGGAAACACAGTTGTTGTGGTTATCACAGGTTTCTGGGGTAGGGAGGAATGTATAAAATAATTAATTGGCAACTGATAATGGATTTGCATTACTTATCTTTTTTTAAACACAGTAAGCATTACATACAGTACCAGACTAATTCAGAGAAATGATAATGCCTTATAACCTATCAACAGATGAAAGATAACATTATACACAGTGAAATGTTAAGTCATTAAAATGGAGAAATCCTGTCATACACTGCAACATGGACAGTCCTTGAAGACATCACGCTAAGTGAAATTAGCAAGTCACAGAAGGACAAACACTGTTATGATTCCATTTTTATGTACATAAAATTGTCAACTCAGCTCTGATCAGTGTGGCCCAGCTGGCTGAGGGTTGTCCAGCAAAGCAAAAGGTCCCTGGTTGGATTCCTGGTCAGGGCACATGCCTGGTTGCAGGCCTGGTTCCTGGTTTGAGCACATGCAAAAGGCAACAGTTTGCTATTTGTCTCTCTTTCTCCCTCCCTACCCTTGTCTCTAAAAATAAGTAAATAAAATCTTAAAATAGTCAAACTCAGAAGCAGAGAAGTAGAATAGTGGCTGCAACACACAGGGGGCACACAAGCACAATCCTGGGGGGAAGAACAGGGAATAGTCCAATGAGCGTAAAGTTTCATAAAAGATGAAAAGTTTTGGAGATTTGTGTATCACTGTGCTTATAGTTAATACTGTAAAATACCCTTAAAAATTTAAGAGTATAGATCTCGAGCCTTTTTTTAAAACCACACACAAAACTTTATAAAATGGTTAAGAAATTCCAATCTTTTTAAATGATTTATGAAGCCAGAATCAACTGAAGAGAAAGTGGGGGAACACAAGTTAGTGCGAACACTTACTACTTCATGGTACCTATCTAAAACAACCCCTTTTTTACATGGCAACTCTTTCACGCTCAGGATTTCATGATGCATTTTAAAGCATCCTTAAAAAATAAAAATACTGGAGAACAAAAAGGACTGTTACAAGGTCAACAATACAGAGATATCATTGCCCCAAAACATCAGATGAGACACCAAAATTTGTAATAGTAATAAAGATGTATTACAAGTTGAACCCAAGACCTGATGATGCCCATTCTGAAAACTCCCCGAGATTCGAAATTAAGACATGATCCACTTTTTCCAGGGTCCTCTATGACTGGAGGATAAGAGGCAACGTATCTGGAGGGAACTACAGTCATTTACATGTAATTTAACAAGTCAGCAAGATCTTTTTCAATAATTTAAGCCAAATGACCAAGAAACAAGACTTCAAAAAGGCTAAACACAATTCAAAGTCTGAACAAACAAATGGACTATAGAACTGGACTTGCATTTCAATACCTCATCATTACTGTTCATCATAGACTAGGACATGTATGGAAGGTCACAAAGCAGAATTAAGTCTTTCAGAGGCTTATATACAGATGAAAAATGCTAGTTGTCTCAAACCTTTTGTGTTTGATGACGAACGTTTGGGTAACGTAGTGAATGATATTGTCAATGAACTAAACTTGCTGCCTTTCAGACTGCAGCCTATCCAACTACCACTTAACAGAAAACACAAATCACCTCCTTTGCACACATTTAAATTACACAAAGGCAATCAACTTCATACTTCCAAGCTTCTCTTTAAAAAACCAAAAACACAACAAAACTACAATTCTGACAGGAAACTGCCAATAAGGAAATAAAACATATTCCACTCTATCACCTTAAAAATGGGGAATTAAAACTTCCAGTATTGTGCTGCAATTTCCTTTCACTTAAAAAATTTAAAATTTTACCATTACATCGCTCGGAATCTAACAAATACTTCTAAGTGCATTAATATTTTGTTAAGTTTTTATTAAATGCATAAACTAGAGAAGATATTGTACAACAATATGATCAACCTTTATAAAAATACTAAAATAAAAGCCAAGGATCGATCATTCTGTCAAAACGCTAGTTTCTTACTATTAACTAGAATAACCAACCACACTAGTTTTCAGATTTTATATATCCCGAGTTTCTTCTTCACCTTATTATCTCAAATTTATCTTCCTTTCTTTTTTGTATTGTCACGACATTGCCGGGAGAGATTCAGTGTCTGCCCCAACCAGTGGACTGCAAAGACTAACATAAGGTGTGTTCCTGATCGGGGTCTAGAAAATCGACGGACCTGGTTCCATTCCCAGCTTCACAATCTACTACACAAACGGTCCCAGCAGTTATTTTAGCTCTACTTCTCGGTTTCACCACCTATCTTCTAGTTTAGCCTAAAAAAACACATGTGAAACACTGGATACACGAATGGGTACTTTTTGTCGTTTGAACGTAGCACGGGGTGTAAAGTTTTAATTAATTAAATGCTCAAACCTCAGGTAAATCCCATACCTATCCGCAAAATTAACGCAATTAAATCTCAGGCGACTCATTTTCCAGACCCAAGTCTCAAGAGACAAGCGAAAATTAATGTATTCAGTTTCCCCTTCCCCCTTTTGCCAACTTGCGGAGATGCCTCCCTTCAAAGACCTGAGTGGACAAACGATTTAACCTTAGGGAGAGGGAGTTCGGTCTCATCACCAACTTAGGAGGCGCGTCGCCTTGCCCCATGAACAACCTCACTGCCGTCACCGCAGAAAGAGGCCACGTCCCCTCTTCCGAGCGTACAAGCTGGAGATTACGAGGCACTTTTACAAAGCACCTCGGACTGGGACACTGGCGTTAGAAACTGTGCAAAGGCCTCCAAGGGCTCCGCCGCCCCTTCTCCACCCCGGCCACCCCGCGCCCGGGCCCGACTGGACTTGGACGGGCCGCCATGTTGCCGGAGCGCGGACAGCGGGCAAGAAGGGCAGCTCGCCCCGGCGGGAGGAGAGAGGGCAGGAAGCCGGCTGGGCCGGCACCCACCTGGTGCTAGAGTAGTGACCGGAGTGAGGGTCGTCAACGGCGTCAAGAGTGTCTGGTTGGTGGGAGCTGAAGTCGTGATCGGGGCCAGGGTGGTATTGTTAGCGGCGGCCAGCACACAGAGCGCGGCCAGGCAGGCGACGGCCAAAATCAGGAGGCGGGAGAGCCCCGACATCGTGACCCCCGCGTCGGTGTTTTGCCCAAAGCTGCAGCGCAGAAGGTTCAGCAGGTACCTCCGTCTCCTGCAGCACCACCTCCCAGACTGCTCCCCCTGCAGGAAAGCGCTGGGGTCACGTGAGGCACCCCTGGCCTTGGAGTGCGGAGGCGTCTCGGGGCGGGGCGTGGTCGATACCACCTGGAATACTACGGGAGGGGAAACGCGGGCGTCCAGAAGAAACCGAGGAAAGATCTCCCCCAAATAGACTGTATTATACCAAGAAAATGGAATAACATACATAAAAACTATTTTATTTCCCTTTGATTACCATATAGGACATAACTGGGCTTTTCTTGTTCTTGAATGAGGAAAGCTCATACCTTGGCTTGGATAGAACAACCTACGTGACGTGGCGCACGGCGTCCCCCAGAGCGACCAGTAAGGCTGCGAATGCCGCAGCCCCACGTGACCCCAGGGCTTCGCTTTCCGGACCTGAGTCCCCCGGGGCGGAAGTTGTCGCCGAACGGTGCCTTTCGACCGGGTAAGATTTAAATTTGGGCCGTGCTTCCGCCCTCCCAAGGCCTTGCGTGTATATGTATCTAATGGGACCCATGCTCTTTACCTTGGAAGTCGCTTTTTCTTGAAGTCACCCGTGTTGTAACTCAGTGGGGAGATGGAGACCACGTGGTTAAGGGTTTCCGCCCCTCCGCGCACTCGGTGTGAGCCTCGAAGCGCCGAAAGTGGTCTCCTGCCTTCCGGCCGGAGCCGCACACCGTCTACCTTTCACACTTTTCCTAACATGACTTTTCCGAATTTCTTGCTATTTCAGCCAGCGATAGCAGCAGCCAATACAGTCAGAAAATCGAAGATTATCTGAATTGGAAACCTATCTGATGGGTTCCTATCGCAACTTTACAGGTGAGTAGACAGATTGATTAGTGACTGGACCAAAACACACTGCTTGGCGTCAGGGCTTGATTTCGAAATGTCTGTTAATATTCTGTCACTGCTCAGGCTTTTATTAAGGGTGAGCGCCATCTGATGTCCAGTCTCACAGAAACATTCACAAGTGCAGCCATGCTTACATCAAATGGTAAAAATTGGATTGTAAAATCTAAGTACTTAATATCGTCTGTTTTGAGCTATTTGTATTCATCATGGCAATCATAATTATGCACATCCACCCTAATAAAACACGAACAGTAATTGCTTTTGTGAGATCTGCTTTAATATGAAAGCACCAAAAAGAGAGGACTGCATAAGCGCTGTTAAATCTTTGAGGCCAAAAGTTGCCTGGAAAGGGTTTGTTGAGCCATATGCTAACCAGGAAAAGGACCAGGTCCTGGGACATGGAGTTTGAATCATCAAAAGCAGGGCTTGATGGAGATGACGAACATGTCCACCGTCTTGGGGTTGATGGGGAGGGGAGGTGCTGTTTTATGCAATGAGTTTGAAGCAAAAGGATCAAAGTTTTGAAAGAATTTACGTTGTCTGTGTTTAAGGGATGAGGCCCAGAAATCTGTTTTTTTGAGAGGCTCAAGCATTTCTGATGCACACTGAAGAAAATGAACATATGATTTAGCACATCTTCAAAGTCCCCTATCAAATACCAAACTTGGTAATTTATGTAGTATATGTTAGTGTTGAGATTGTTACAAATATTTTGTATGTTGCATAAATTTATTTGAAATATGAACTGACTAGATTTGCAAGGTTTTAAGTTGTGATTCCATTTTGGGAATGGTAATAGATGATATAATCAGTAAACTGCTAGCTTAAAAAATGAGTTTCCACACGAGAGAATATCACAAAGTTTTATAGAGATCAGTTTTAATTTTGAGGATGAATTAATTCAGTCAATTGAAAATTAATATGATGTTAGTGAGAATGGCTAATACTGAATGTTAACAGGGGCTTGATGTTTCTTGAAATGATGATGCTACTCTGTCAATAGCAGCCTGTTTTTTTGTGAGTTGATATTGCAGAAGGGAAACTAATTTTTATTTAATATCTGCTGTGGGTCAAGCACCATGAGAAGTATCTTCACATGTTATTTCAGGTAATCCTCAGACCACTGTGAGATAGATGTACCCTCACTTTACAAATGAAATTGAAGTCCCAAAGTAAATAATGGTATTGGTAGTGATTTTATGAATTTATTAATGGAGGCGTGCTAACAACTTTTTCACTTCTGTGCTCTTTTTACAAATGAGGAAAGTAAAAGGTTAAATAATTCAACTGCCACATTGCTAGATAGCTGGGACTAAAACATTCCTAATTTAAAAGATATATAAAGTATAAAAAGTCATAGGATCCTGAGGTTACCAGACTAATCATTCATTAACAAATAACTGGCATTGTTTGCAATAGGGGCAAACAAATTCTTTAATTAGAATTTAAATGTTTTTCAAATCTCCCAAAATAAGAAGAACATCCATATACCACATTCTTCTTAATATGGCGTAGTGTAAGATATCGCCTATGTACTTGGCTGAGCCATATTGGCAATTAGGGGAAGGTCATATAACTAACATTTTTTATAAATCATTAGAATATCTCTACTCACATATTTGTAGACTTGGAAAAATCTAGAATTCCTTCTGTTTAATCAAATTAAAGTTTTTCAATTTGGTTAAGTTAAAGTCTTATATTTCAAATTAATTGGGATAAGCTTTTGAATCTTTTGTAACAGTTTCTTCAAACATGTTGAAACATACAAATCATTCTAATACTATATTCTGACACAGAAGTGTTACTGTGTGTACCTTTAAGTGGGGGGTAATAAGAAGCACTGTATGTACAGATCAGTAAAACTTAAGACAGCCTGAGAGTGGATAGTGAAAAGGAACAAATGGACTGTGAATGTGCCATTCTTTAGAACGTTTGCAGTGTTCTACCTTCCCATTGCAGCAAAACTGGAAAATAAGGGGAACTGGAATCAGTTTCTTATACCCATGCAGATAATCCAATTCTTTCATATAAAATATTTAATGTCATAATATAAAGGTTCGTTGCCAGGAAGAATTACTCTGCTGCTTCTTATCACATGATTGATGGCTGTAATTTGTTTTAACCAGGATCTCTGCAAAGCGTCAGTTTCATTCATCGCATCCTTCACTAGCTGATGAGGGTCTCTGTGATAAGCCCAGCTCCCTGCTTTGAGCCGTCCCCAGTGTGACCACAGGAACCTATCCAAAGGCCCAGAAAGAGGATCTGGAGGCTTCAGACAACAGCCTGAGTTGTCAGATTGGCGAAAACTTATGAGAGGAAGAGGAGAAAACTCCTCTTCAGTGATTCCCAAATCTGGCTGTTAATCAGTCATTGAGGAGATTTTAAAAATACAAGTTCTGGACCAGTGACCACACAGACAGCCGGCATCATGTTCGGCTCCAGCCGAGGCGGCGTGCGCGGGGGGCAGGACCAGTTCAGCTGGGAGGATGTGAAGACTGACAGGCAGAGGGAGAACTACCTGGGCAACTCGCTGATGGCCCCTGTGGGCCGTTGGCAGAAGGGCCGTGACCTCACGTGGTACACTAAGGGCCGGGCCGATTGCACGGGGATGAGTCGGGAGCAGGAGCTGGCGGCCGTGAAGCAGGCAGAGCAGGAGGCACTCATGGCAGCACTGGGCTACAAGAACGTGAGGAAGCAACCCACCGGCCTAAGCAAGGAAGACTTTGTGGAGATCTGCAAGCGTGAAGGAAGTGACCCTGAGGAGAAGGGAGTGGACCGGCTCCTGGGTCTGGGGAGCTCCAGTGGCTCTGCAGGCCGAGTGGCATTATCCCGAGAAGACAAAGAGGCGGCTAAATTGGGGCTCCCAGTGTTCACACACCATCGGGTGGAGAGCAGTCGGCCAGGGGCCTCCCCAGCCCGGAAGAAGCCCAAGCCAGAGGAGAAGGCAGAACCAGGCCCCCAGAGTCACAAGAAGAGCAGGAAAGAAAAGAAGAAGAAGAAAAAGCACAAGAAAGAGAAGAAGAGAGAAAAGGACCACAGGACCAGGGCTGCCTCCTCACCGTCCCCATCTCCATCTGGGGCCCGCCATCGCAGGCATGACTCCGACTCCTCGCCCTGCTGCAAGAGGAAGCGGGGGCATGACAGTGACTGAGGCCCAGCCCACCGGGACCCTGCCCCATCCTCAGTGAAGCCTTTGAGCATGTGCCCTGCCAGGCCCAGAGAGCTGGGGGGCAGGCTTGTGGGAGCTGTGCCAGGCTCCTATAAGCAAGCAAGGTATCCAGGTAGAACCTCACCCCCAGATGGCCCCAGGCCCACCAGGGGAGGACACACCTGCCCAGGAGGTCCACCTGCCTTAGGCTTTAAGTACTGCTACTTCTATTTTTCTGTGTTGACTCACCCTTTGTACTTAAATAAACTTACTTATAGCTGAAAAAAAATACAAGTTCCTAGACAACACCCTGAATGTTATACACTGGTAATTTATTTACCATACATTTATTGAGCACTCCCAGTATAATAGGTCCTATTCTAGGTTCTGTACACAAGTTACCGATTCCTTGAAATCTCACAACTCTGTGGTAGTGACTGCTGTTTTGAGATGGCAATGGAGGCACAGTGAAGTTCTTGCCTGAGTTTTTGCAGCTAGGGAATAGCAGAGCCAGGATTCAAACCCAGGCTGCCTGCCTCTAAGACATATGTCGTTAACCCTGTACTGCCTCCAGGTCAGTTGAGAATGTGACACAGGCAGTGTACTTTCTCCCCATCCACTTTAGATATTAGTATGAAACCATATGCCATATTCTAATGAGCTGTTATATTAAAATATATAATTCCATTATATGTAATTACATACTTATATAAAGTGTATACGCACACACACACACACACCCCAATTTTCAGGAGTTAGGGATGGTAGAGGGCAGGGGAGTAGAAAAGCTATAAAGGGGTAGCCCCAGGAAAAACTGGCACTTGAAAAGTTCTGTGTCTTGATTGTGGTGTCGGTCACGAGTCTACATGATGAAATAATACATGTACCAATGTCAACTCCCTATTTTGGTGCTGTACTATAGTTGTATAAGATATGCATATTGGGGAAACTGGGTGATCAGTACACAGGACTGCTCTGTACTTCTTGCAAATTCCTGTGTATAATTTTTTTTTTAAATCATATGCGTACCTTTGACAAGCCCTAAGTCACTTAGAGGCCTGTCTCTACGATTGCCTCAAAGAGGTATTACGTTTGAAGACAGACCTGCTAAGGGCAAGAAAAGCACAATGGCTCAGGGCAGAGCAGGAGTGCAGTGGTAGTGGTAGCGGCGGTGGCTGAGCAGGGTCACTACTTACAGAGTCAAGCCTGTCACTGAAAAAGGGGCTGAAACCGTAACTTAGGTCTTGCAGTGATTCCCAAACAACTTGTACCCAGCATGCTAAATAAGAACCTCCGAGGGGAGAGCTAAATGATTGCACAGAATCCCAGTCTCAGATTTTTTAGACTGAGTGGGTCGAAGACAAGATCCAGCAGCCTTGTTGAAATGGGTGACATGTATTTGAAAAATACAGATTTTAGGAGCAGTTTGATAGAGCTGGATCCCCAGTAATGTCTCAGGAGCCAACCACCACAGGAACTATAACTGAAGCCCTTGGTTGGTGTGGCTGAAAGGCAAGTATTCATAGCTGTAAAAACATCCAAAGACAGCCTTTTCTGAATGCTATGTATGAACTGAAATTTAACAAAGTTTTTTTTTTTCTACTGTCCCTCCTACTTGGTTATTTACTAAGTTTGTCATGGCAGATAACGTAGTTAACAACAGAATTACAAATATTTTAGGATTCAAAGGCCATTCATTAGGTACTGCTGTAAATTAACAATGGTTTTGGGTACAAGTAACACCAACCAACAGTAACATAAATGGGTCTATTTGTCTCATGTAGTAAGAAGTCCAGAGATAGGTAGTTCGCTGGTTTTGGCTCCACAGTTAAGAGCTGAGGCTGACATTTCTGCAGTTCCCTTGGCCCTTCTTTCATGGCTCCAGCCTCTGCATTTAAGACTGGATGAAGGGGAAGGGGCAGGACCACTGGCATTTAACTCCTGTCTTACTTGCTAGAATGGTATCCCATGGCCACTCCTGGCAGTAAGAGGCTAGGAAATTGAGTTTTGTGCTTTTATAGTCTGGCAGAGGCAAAGGAAAATGGGGAGATACTGGGTGCTGGGTGAGCCAACCTACAGCATTTGCCACAGCTTTCAAATTTTTTTAAAGCATGATTTAATTCAATCTAGAAACAGCTGATGAGATACATAATAATTGTCAGAAAATACCGATATGAAAATCAAGCATAAAAATTTCCACTGTCAGTAATTGTACATTGTTGTATTGGTCTTTCATTCTCTGTTGGAACCAGTTCTAGTTGTTGGAGAACTTCTGTTCCTTCAATCAGTTGCCTAATATAGGAGAAAGTGGGTAATTAAGTCAGTCATACATTTTCACTTTTAGCTTATATTCCTAAATTGAGTCCTACCTAGTTTAGCTAAGGATATTTTCTACAAGTTAAATTAACATCAGTCATAAATATCTTAAATAGCTCTCTGTGTCTGTGATATCTGGGACCCTTCCAATCTGTTACTCTCACTGCCATCAAGGTGAAGTTTTTAAAATGCAAATCTGATCTCACTTCCCTGCTTAAAGCACTTCAATAATTTCCCATTATCCTCGCACTAAAACTGAAAATCTCCACCATGGCCGGCCTCCCACCCGCCTCCAGGGCTGCCTTGCAGCAAGCCCCCTTGCCCTCTCTGCTCCAGCCAGACACGTCCCGTACCTCAGTAGCACCTTGAACCCTTCCTGTCACAGTTGTCCCCTCTGCTCTTGCCTCCATCTGTAATGCCTCTGCCTGGTCACTTCCTGGCCTTCCTGCAGATCTTAGCTCAGTCACCGTTTTGTGGAAGTTTCCCAGACCCCTTCGTAGGGATTATCAGGGTTAAATTTGGCATTTATTTGTATGCTGCTTTGATTCACTTCTGACCCTCTTCTGAGGACAGAGATCATGCTTTTGCTCAAGGCTCAATGCCTAAGATAACACCTAGCACATAGTAGGCACCTAATCAACATCCACTGAATATATAAATAAAAGCTCAAAGCCATGCTAGTTTGAATCTCTGTAGACATTCACTAGCCATGAGCTGGAACTCGTGAGTGGAGCTAATGTTCTGATGGTTCTTTCAATTAAAAGAGAGCCCTAAACTTAGGACCAGTGCTTGCTTGGGCTGAGGTGTGGCTGAGGGGAAAGTGCAGTTTCCATTTCATGCAACTTTGTAGGGACATGGTCAGTGCTGACACTGATCATGCTCTAGTCATCTTTGTCGGCCTCTGGGCTTTACTTTTGCCTTCCCAATCAAACCATGAGACAGAGCAGGATACAAGGCATATTGTGAAGGTGAAGAGCAGGGAAAAAAGGACAGATTCACCTCTGTCCAAAGAGGATGTGACGCCAATTCTCCAAATTGGTTTCACAAATTCTGAAGGAGCTGAGCACCTACTGTGTGCACCTCTCCACTGTGATAGGTGTTAGGGCACAAGATGAGTGAGACCCAGTCCCTACTTCAGTTCACAGTGTGCCAAAGAGGACAACCAACCAGTTTCATTTTGGTAATCAGGGAGGTTTCTGACCTAAGCCTTGAACAGAATTTTGGCAGACTGAAGGGAGGCAGAATGAACAAGTAAGCACAGGCCTAGAGGCGGCTCTGGGAGTGATGGTACTCTGGTCTGCCTGGAGCTCAGCTGCCATGTTGACAGCTTCCAAAATCTACATCTCCAGCCCTCATCCATCTGGAGTACCTACTCCTGGTACTCAGAAGTTGCCACCTGCCTGTTGTGTCTTAATCTGAACCATAACTTGCCTATCCTGAACTCATGATCTCTCCCATATCCTTCTTGTATTCTTTTATCTTGGTGAATGGTGCCAACCATTCAACTGGTTCCTAAATCCTAGTTCCTCTAGACCTTCATTGCCCAACATGGGCACGTGTGGCTATTTAAATTTAATTAAAATTAAATAAAATTTAGTTCCTCAGTTGCATTAGCCATGGTTTAAGTGCTCAATGGCTGCATACAAAATTGGTTAAAATGAACACTGGATTGAAATTTCTCCATGTAATGATGAGTTAATGATTATCCCGATGGAGTGGCTGGAAAAATCTAATACTCAGAAAAATTCTAACACTTTACATCATTTCTTGGAAAACACTTCAATAATCAAGTAGAGATATGAAACACTGAAGTGATGAAAAGTATATTCATCATCCATTTTAGGTCCACATGCCTATAAGCATCTTGCTAATAATATTCTAACCTGAGATAGTTCCATATTTTAACTTGCTCAATAAAAAAAGTTACTTGCAAATTGGACAGTTTTCATCTATCCCTTCACAGTGTTTGTGGACAATTATTTAAATAGTTTCACCTCACTTCTGCATGTAAATATATCTAGATTATTAAGCACTATGGTATTATTCATAGTAATTAATAATTGATATCCTTGATGCTGAACGTAAAAGGACGGATGGATGGATGGATGGATGGACAGAAGATTACAATGGCTGTGCCTCCTAAATGGTTTCTATGGTTATTATAGAAAGTTTCTTACAAAATATCTATTTCTAAATATGTTTGTATTACTTTTGTTTTTAAATTCTCTTAGTTACCCATAGGCTTCAGACAATACCCAAATTTTTTGAACCACATTTTTACATATATGAATATAATATACACAAACTTACTATACACATACCCAAAAGCCACGTATTTTTTATCTAGGTAGGGAGTTGCTTGTAGTGTGATGTAGAACTGTGAACCATTGCTGTGACGGCCTTTGTTGACCATTCCAAGAACTCCCCTTTTATTATGAGGAATTGAAAAGTTTTCATCTAGAAAAAAACAAACAGTAGTAGGTCATTAAAATACTTCTATTATCTCGATAGACTGTAGCACGTAAAACACAAACAGAACCCTTAGTAACAAGGGCTCTCAATCTTCCTTATCAATACACTCCAAATTGCAAATACTCTGTTTGTTTCATATTACTTTCACTCAAGTAGGCTGTTAAAAAAGATAAACTGTAAAGTCCTGTTAGAACTATTTGAGCATTTACTAAGAAAATTAATAATGTAAAGGAAAGTATTTTAAATTAGTAATGTAAAAGGAAGCATATACTTCCCCGAGTGTTAAAGGTCAGTAAATTTCCTTGTGCTGTTTTATCAGTAGTATTTCATTCAAACTGCCAACCATGTGATAATTAAAAATGCCTCCGTTGAGAAGGCTTTCTTCTTTTTTTTTTAATGTTCTATTTATTTTTAGAGAGAGGGGAAGGGAGGGAGCAAGAGAGGGAGAGAAACATCAATGCGTGAGAGAGACAGTATCGGTTGCCTCTCGAGCACCCCCAACTGGGAAACTGGCCCAAAACCCAGGCATGTGCCCTGACTGGGAATCAAATCGGCGACCCTTTGGTTCACAGGCTGGCACTCAATCCACTGAGCTACACCAGCCAAGGCGAGAGGCTTTCTTGGACATGACTCTTTCCCTCACAGCATCTCATACAGACCTCTACTGTGGTCTTTATACCACTCTATGTAATTGTTTACATGATTGCTTCCTCTCTAGTATGTGAAGGCAGAGACCTTGTCTCCTTGTAGCTTTACCCCCAGGGCCTCCCTAGTACATTACCTGGCATACATGTGACCTTAACTGTTGATGATGAAAGGAAATTGATTTATGCTTATTTGTAGTAGTCTTTAAATAAATTTTAATTTTAAACCTGTACCTGTATGGATTGACCATGATTTTGTGGAGGGTGGGTTTTTTGTTTGTTTGTTTTTAGTGTAAGGTTAACAAGTAAAAAGAATTGTACGGCAGTTATTCTACCATTTTCAGGAAGTACCATTTCCAGCATAAAATAAGATTTGCTTCCACACTCAAAAAAACAGAAGGAAGTGGTGGGGGAGAGAAATCCAGTTTAGGTTTTCATTCAATAACTACAAAATTGTGGGAATATTGAGAAATGTGAATATTAACTGTCAATAAGATTTTCTTAAGTTGCAATTGCTGACTATTCTTAGGTTTCAAAGCTAAGCCAATTAAGCAATTAAGTCATATTTGTGATGGTTACTTTTACCTTGTTAAATTGCTAAATCTCTGAAATCTTATGAAAATAAAGCATTTTTGTATGAATAAGTATATAATTACATTGATGCTCCATATTCTTTTTAATGGAATAGAGAAATAACCCATTAATTTCACAGAAAATCACATGGAATAGAAATCTGCCCTAAGATTCAGTTTTGACAAAATGGTATTTGTCATTGCTCTTAGTTGTTATGATTAATTGTTCTTAAATTCTGTAAGTAATAGGGAAGAAAATTTATAGAATATTCGTAATGCTTTTATCAAAAATTTGTGGTTATGGGAGAACTTTTAAAAGTTTATTAACTATTTTTAAAATACTACCTGTGTGAAAGCCCATGTATAAAACAGATCCCTCTCACCTCTGAGAATACCTCTTCAGTGCCCTGTGGGACTCCTTAAGGGGCAACTTGAAAACCACTGCTATAAAGGGACAGAAAGCAAAACTGTTTTTAAAAGGTTTAAGTAGTCCCTGAACTACAAATTTAAAATGTGTTTGACCTGAAAAAAAATGTGTGAAAAATAAATAACTTATGTTGTTGATTCTTTAAGTACACAATGTTGACGTGAAACTTGAAGACCTGAAGCTGTGCTGCTCCCAGATGGCAGCGATGGCAGGGCAGAGGGAAACCACTCTGTGACTGACTGCCACAAACAGCTAAAGCCCTTGGGTGCAATTTGACCTGCTCCTGGACAGCATCCCATTTATTTGGGGTTGGGGTTGGAGAGCCATCCTCTCTCTCCCTATTCTCTCCATAGTTCCTGGTGGGGCCTTTGCCTGGAATAACAAGCTGCGGTGTTAGCCCACATAAACTTGACGGGAGCTGCAGCTAGGACTGGGCTGTTCGCACCTGCTTCGGCAGCTCACTTGGGGAATGAAGTGGACCCCCAGCTATGCATATTATCCTCTTAAAGATGGGAGCAAATGGCATAAGAGTCCAAAAAGGAATTTTATGAAGGTTATTTTATTTTTAGAGCAAGAGCAAGGGAAAGAGAGAGGGAGAGAAACATTGACATGTGAAACATCAGTTGATTGCCTCTTGCATGCCTCCCAACGAGGGACTTGGCCTGCAACCTAGGCATGTGCCCCAACCGGGAATCAAACCAGCAACTTTTTGGTTTGCGGGATTACACTCAACTGAGTCTTGCTGGCAAGGGCCAAAGTAGAATTTTTTTTCTTTAAAGAAGCTTTACTGAAAAATGGCTATCCTAATAGTATAATTACATTAACAGAGAGAGAGAAGCCCTAGCTGGTGTTGTTCAGTGGATTGAATGCTCTCCTGTCAACCAAAGTGTTGCAGGTTTGATTCCCAGTCAGGGCACATGCCTGGGTTGCAGGCCAGGTCCCCAGTAGGGGTGCACGAGAGGCAACCACACACTGATGTTTCTCTCCCTCCCTTCCCCTCTCTCTAAAAATAAATAAAATCTTAAAGAAAAAATAGAAATATTTTCCCACAAGTTAACAATATTAAAACGGGTAATGAAAATCCGAGGTTTAATTAAGTTTTGGTCATTCACTAAACTTATTGAATGCCTGCTGCATTCCAAGTACTGTTCTAAGTACTGAGTTCAACACTTTTGACTTATATAAAAACATGTAAATTTAGTCTGCTCACATAAATTTTTTGAGGACAGGGGAAAAAAAACCCCTTAAGTCAACAACCATTTTTCCTTTCTCCCCACTATGCCTGAGTAGGATAGTTAACTATTATAGATTATTTTAATTTTGTCAGCAACACTCAGTGGAAAGGAAAATGTAGATGTAAGCGATCTACAAAATAAATATTTTAAAGTAGGAGGAACAAAAATATATATATATATATTTAAAATTGCTGGGCAAAATTAGGGAAATTTAAAAAATGTTTAAAGTGCTAGCTAAATCAGAATTTTTAGTAAATTTTATTTCTAGGTCACATAACAGGCATGGACTTTCAATAAAAAGTAAAAGAAAGCTAAGAACATGGTACAGACTCAGAGCCCTCTCATCATATTGTGACTCAGGAGTTCCTGCCTGCCTCTGCCACATACAGGAACATATGGAATTGTAGTTACAGTTCTGTGGTTAAAACTAGTTTCATTTGTAACATACAACATTAAGAGTGAGAAGTGCTTGTTTGAAATAGAAATCAGAATTTATGTGAAAAATATCAGTTTCTGAATTTATTTAAAATAAAGCTCATTCTGATACAGAGATCAGAAGGGAGTGAGTGTGAGAGCTGAATGGTGTGATCTATAAAAGACTAGGACACAGTGGGAGGAATGGTGTGGAAAGATCAACGGGAGCAGGCCAGAAGGAATGTGGGGGTCTGAAATGTAAACATTATTTCAATTTCCAATAAAAACACCATAATTCAGGAAAAATAAAATAGAGCTCATTCTGATACTTATAACGGAAGTAACTTCTTTAAGTGTGGGAAACACATTGTATTCTTTCTGGTGAAAGTATAATCAGACTGTTTGGGAACTTCCATATAATTTTCTAAGGACTGTTGTATCAGTTAGAGCCAGGGGTGTCCAACCTGCGGTCTGTGGGCTACATGTGGCCCAAGATGGCTGTGAATGAAACCCAACACAAAATCGTAAATTTACTTAAAACATCCAATTTTTTTTGTGATTATGTGTCGCAGTGTATTTAATGTATGGCCCAAGACAACTCTTCTTCCAGTGTGGCAGAGACGCCAAAAGGATGGACACCCCTGATAGACAATCTGATCCCAATCCTACAATATCTATTTTTAAAAGCTACTGCTCTAATTTTACCATCAATGTTTTAATAACAGCTATTCACTATTTCTTGTTATAGAAAAGTAAATGATGTGTGAAAGCTAGCATTTTTTAACTGCTACTTTAATAAAATATTTAAAACATGTTGATTGTGTGTATGAATAGCCAAATGATTATCAACACTCGAATGGGTAAATATTTACTTACAGTATATTCTTTTTTTTAATTGTATCTTTTTCTATTACCATTTATTCCCCTTAAACCCTCTTCCACCTCCATGTACTCCCTTCTACCCCACTTATGGTATATTCTTAATTTTAAACAGTGGTGAAAAGGAGAGAATTGCAGCTATAGATAACATGGGTGAATCTCATAGACACTGATGAACAAAAGAAGCAAGACATAAAGAATGTCTACCGTATGATTCCATGTTATATAAGGTCAAAAATAGGCGTAACTTAACTATATTGTTAGGGATCCATACATAGGTAGTAAAACTATCAAGGACAGCAAGAAAAAAGTCAGGCTCATGGTTACCTCTAAGAGGGAGATGGAATTATTGAGGATGGACAAATGGGGGGCTTGTGGCACGCTGGCAGTTTTTCTTGACAAGGATGGTAATATGAGGGTTTGCTTTATAATTCTTCTTAGTATTTTTAATCCTCACCTATGGACATTTTGTTCATTGCTTTTATAGGCGGGCAGGGGGGGAGAGAAACATTGATATGACTGAGACACATTGATTGGTTGCATTCTCCTATGCACCCTAACTAGGGATCAAACCTGCAACCTGGGCATGTGTCTTGACTGGGAATTGAATCTGTGATCTTCTGGTCTACAGGACAATGCTCTAACCAACTGAGCCACACTGGCCAGGGCTATGATTATTATTTTTTTAAAAAGATTTTATTTATTTTATTTTTAGACAGAGGGAAAGGGAGGGAGAAAGAGAAGGAATGTGTGGTTGCCTTTCATGTGCCCCCCACTGGGGACCTGGTCTGCAACCCAGGCATGTGCCCAGACT